TTGATACACATATTTTTGGGGAACACAATTCCAATGCATGACACCAACACATACACATGCACACTACCAGTCTCCTATTTTCCTCAGGTACAAATTTGGATTAGATTATTATTCAGTGTTTACATTACTAGGATAGCTGAACCAAGTAGGTTTATTAGGATTTCCTTCCCTGCACTTCCGGTTTTCCACGTAGTTAATCATTGTGCTGATATTCATTTGCTTGTCTCTCAGTTATCATTAATTCAACACCATATTCTGCAAGTGCCTAAATCTTTCCATAAATGCAGACATATTGGTGTCCTATTGTTAACCTCCCCCGGCACCTTCTGATCTCCTCTAATCAGACAGTTCACACCCTGTACCAAGTCGCCATCCTGGGACTGCCCTTTACCTTGAGACTGGAGATTGTTTTTCTCCTGTTGGATGGCGTTTCCTGGTTCTTGCATGTTCCTTTCTTGATTTACTCCACTTTTTTGTGGAGTGTGTCTCTCAGCGCACCTTGGGAGGGTGTATGGGAAGTAAATGTTTTGAGACCCTGTGTATCGTTTCTCTATTTTTATACTTAAATGATAGCTTGACTGGACATAGAATTCTGGATGGAAATTCATCATCCTCCAGTGTTTCTAGGCATTGTTCCTCGCCCCCGGTACTTTGCATGTGACCTGATTTTTCAGCCTGTGGAAGCTTGTGTGATCTCCTGTTTCTCAAGCAGTGTGAAATTTCATGCTGTCTCAGTGTTTTCATGCCGTGGCTGGGCCCCTTAAATGTGGAAACCCTTGCCCTTCAATTCTGGAGAGTGGTATTCTCCACTCCATTTCTGGTCTTCTTTCTCTGGAGCAATTCTTCCAGACATCAGACAACCTGGGATGGTCCTCTCATTCTCTACCTTTATCTGTCTTGTCTTTGCTTTTTTTTGACTTGCTATTAGCTTTTCTCAACTTTTACTTCCAAGCTTTCTATTGAATGTTTCTACTAGTGCATTTTTATTTCTAAGGGCTTTTAAATTCTCTGAATTTTTTTACTGCACTATAGTCTTGTTTTATGGAGCCCTTCTGGCACAGTGGTTAAGCACTCGGCTGCTAACTGAAAGTTTGGAAGTTCAAACCCACCAACGACTCCATGGCAGAAACATGTGGCAGTCTGCTTCTGTAAAGATTGAGCCCTGGAAACCCTACGCTTGCAGAAAGCAAAGAGAACTTGAAGCACTTACTGATGAAGATCAAAGACTACAGCCTTCAGTGTGGATTACACCTCAACATAAAGAAAAATCTTCACAACTGGACCAATAAACAACATCACGATAAACGGAGAAAAGATTTAAGTTGTCAAGGATTTCATTTTACTTGGATCCACAATCAACACACATGGAAACAGCAGTCAACAAGTCAAACAGCATATTGCATTGGGCAAATCTTCTGCAGAAGACCTCTTTAAAGTGTTAAAAAGCAAAGATGTCACTTTGAGGACTGAGGTGTGCCTGACCCAAGCTATGGTATTTTCAGTCACCTCATATGCATGCAAAAAGAAGGACGATCAATAAGGAAGACCAAAGAAGAATTAATGCCTTTGAATTATGGTGTTGGGGAAGCATATTGAATATACCATGGACCACCAGAAGAATGAATAAATCTGTCTTGGAAGAAGTACAGCCAGAATGCTCCTTAGAAGTGAGGATGGCAAGACTTCATCTCACGTACTTTGGACATGTTATCAGGAGGGACCTGTCCTTGGAGAAGGACATCATGCTTGATAGAGGGTCAGTGAAAGAGAGGAAGACCCTCAACAAGATGGACTGACACAGTGGCTGCAACAATTCGGGTCAAGCATAGCAGAGATTGTTAGGATGGCGCAAGACCAGTCAGTGTTTTGTTCTGTTGTACATAGGGTTGCTATGAGTCAGAACCAATTCGACAGCACCTAACAATAATTCTTGTTTTATGCAGTATCTTCTCTACCCTCTTTTTGAAGATACTGATAGATTTTTTTCTAAGTTTTCTTTTCTTTCGAAGTTGCTTTTTTCTATTTATCTGTCATTCATGTTAGATGTTTCCCTTGGCTGTCTCTTGACCCTTGGCTGACTGTATTTAAGAGTGAGACACTACAAATATGTGACTGGAAGCTCTGAGCGGGGCTGGGGTGAGGGGTGGGGTGGAGTCTGTGACCTTTCCTGGCTGGGCTGGTCACTGAAAGGTCCCTGATATCTAGGCCTTGCTACCCAAGGACTGACAGCATCAGTACCACCAGGGAACTCATTAGAAATGCATTCCGGCTCTACCCCAGACCCGCTGAATCAGAAATCTCCAGGTGATTCCTGCACACTGAAGTTAGAAACTGGTCTAGCCTAGTATTCTCCACTTGCACGTGTATTCCCATACTCTCACGGTCTTGCTAAAATGCAGATTCTGATTCAGCAGATCTGGGGTGGGACCTGATATTTAGCATTTCCAACAAGCTCCCAGGTGTTGCTGATGCTACAGGTCCTAGAGGGTTTAGGTTGGGCCATCAGTGTTTTGGGACTTAAGTCGGGGGAAGAGGGCTGAGGCTTTATCATTTACTGTGTAAATGTCCATCAAAACGGTCTGCTTTCTGTCCAGGACTCCTGCCCTCAGTGGCACCCAGCCCATACACCCCTTTCCTACCGTCTCCCAAAGACCCTTCAGTTTTCTTCTGGGGCAGAGGGATAATCGTCTTTTTGGGCAGCAGATGGGGGAGAAGTACTCTCCTCTGCAGTCTTTCAGGCAGTCTGTGTCTCAGCATCCGCTTCTCCACCCCGAGTGGTCTCTGGCTGCAGTGCCCCAGCTTCCTGGGAGTGCATCGCTTCCATTTCCCTATTGCCAGCTCAGGACCCAGCTTTCGTGGGTCGGCTAAGTCAGATTCCACTTGTCCATCTGCTTTCTGACTTCCACATTTTTGCTGTTTCTTCTCCTAGTCTCTATCCTTTTACGAGTTTTTGTTTTTTCTTTTTGAAGGTTCCCTTAACATCATTTTAGTGGTGGTTTGAGAGAGAGAAAAAGCAGTTGCAAATGTTCACTCCAACCCAGTGCCTGGGTTTTACAGTTTCTGTAGAATGTCCTGCCTGTTCCACAGGGCTGTTGTCAGGATGAGATGTGCCCTACACTCTGTGAAAACTCACAAAGAAGGGGAGCAAACGTTCCTGCCAGCAAACGGCTGTGTAGTGGTAGCAATAAAAGCAACTCTGCAGCAGGCAGCTTGAAGCCTGTTCACATTTGGCCTCATTGAAAGGTGTGGAGCATGGGGTATTAAAAGATACAACCACGATTAAGACATTTCAGTATTCCCTTGAAAATTCTCTCTCCCCACCACATCCACACGACGTCTTTTGAAGGTACTGGCGGTGTTGGAAGATGACTTTGTTGACGTGGTGTCCTCACCCTGCCCACTCCCGTGTGGTGGTGGAATTACAGAGACCTTCTGCTGGTAGAAACCCTGTGGAGCACAGTTGTACTCTAACACACATGGGGTTGCCATGAGCTACGTCCTCACCCCTCAATTACAGCGCCCCCCACTGTGGCAATCTGGGGTGCCACTGCTGGGTGGAAGGCAGTGTGTGGGGTGCCCAGCATCGACACTAACAGCCAGTGGGATGTCTGCTTGTTCTGTCCCACGTTTGAAAGGCTCAGTTCTTACAACGTGCTTCTAAAATTAGTGAATTCCTACGACCCTGTAGTCCAAAGGAATGATTACCTCAAATTTTGTGTTTAAACAGAGAAAAGATGGCTATTCAGGTTTGTATCCTAGCAGACCCTGTAAGTAACTTGTTTTCAAACTCCAAGAGACACCTGGGAGGCTGGAGCACTGGACTAGGAGGGGCTGTGATTTCTGAACGCACAGCTCGTTCTGGCTTCCAGAGGTGCTCAGCCAGGGTCATGGTCAAGCCCCAGCTTCTGAGCCTGAGCTCCTGGTCTTAATCAAGGGAAGAGGCGGCATCGTAGCTGGCCAGCCCGTCCCCAGACCCAGGGTCTCGTCAACATCCCTGGGGTGTGGGAAGTTAGACTGTCTTCTGTGCAGCGACTGAAGATAACCAGGGCATGAAGGACAGGTGCTGGTGTGGGCAGAGGCCCCGGCACTGACCCTGTGGGCTTGGGGAGCAGCTGCTATCAGAGCTGGTGACCTGGAGGAGGTGACAAATGGGTGGTGGTGGGACGACTGATCTTGGAACTGCTGCTCCAAGGGGTCACACATCCGGCCCTGAGCCCCACTGTGCCAGACGCCCCCTAGCAGAGGGAGCCTCACCTCCACCTCTGCGGCTCACGGCGTGACCTTGGACCACATCTTTATACCTCGTCACCTTGGCACTTTAATGTGAAATGAGGGAAGAGAATGGACAGCGGGCGTGGAAGGGGCTGCGAAGGCCTAACTGACCGTGAGTCCGCTTCTGTCTTCCAGAGGCGACCCACCAGGAGAGGTGGACCAAAGAGCTCGCCGCCTGGAGGAGCATGGTCGGCGAGCACGACCGCATGCTGCAGAGCTGGAGGAAGGCGTGGGTAAGCTGAGTCCGCAGGGGGCGTGGGGAGCAGATGCCGGCAGCCCTGGTTTCTTACCATAGAGCAGTTGGCTGTTTGAGAGCCCCACAGCCCTTCAACCCCGGATGAACCCCCCGTCTTCTCTGTCACCGGCCTGAGGGCAATTCATTGGTGGCCAAGCCGGCCGAGCTGGCCCTTCCCTGGACTGGGCACTCAGCAGTGGCCGGCACAGCCAGGCCTGAAGGCCTCAAGGGGTCAACGCCTTCAACAAGGGCAGGAAAACCGGAAAATATGGTGGGCAGTGCTGGAGAGCAGTGTCTCTGTCTTCGGCTGGCTTGTGACCTCGCCACCCTGGGGCCCGGCAGCTCTGGGCTAGGTGCTCTTGTTGCTGCACCCTGAGGGGGACGGGGAGAGGTGGTTTCTCGAGCCCCAGTCCTGCAAAGGGCAGGTGAGGGCAGGCTGGGCGAGCTCCGCGCCTGATTCCCAGCTGCCGAGGTCCGAGTTCCCAGGACAGCACCTCCCCGAGGTTTATTATTGACATGCTGCAAATACAGGGGGAGCTTGCAAAAGTGCAAACCCCAGGTTTTAAAGGTTTTTGGCCTAAAAGGCTACCGAAAGCCTCTAGAGTTGGTCCCAGCGAAGGAGGCATTTATAACCGATCTTTAAAATTAGTTTGGAGAGGGGAGCTGGAGCACGTGTGGATTCCCCTCTGGCCATGTCTTCCTGCCGCACAGGACGGTGGGTAGAGGGGAGGAGCGTCTTGGGATCGTGGGCCACACGGAGGCTTACTCCATAGACCAGGACGGGGAGCGGCAGGACCGTGTGCACGTCCGCCTTCCCACCCGCGTGGGAAACTTGTCTAAGATAGTGACTAGGAGCCGACTGCTACGTGAGAACTGGCTTGAGTAGGAGAAAAGCTCTTATCTGTTTGGCTAAGAAATCAAAGACCACGTTGCTCTTTCAGGAAAGCTGTGACGAGGATACCTTCTAGCCACAAGGAGGCAGCTCCTGAGACTCTGAAGCCGACCCCGCCGCCCGCCATGGTCCCCTCGAGGCCCCGCACCTCTGCTGTGCCAGCTCTTCCTGCTCTGAACGCGTCCCCAAGTCTGTGCATAACCGTTTCCCCAGGAGGCTGGGCATGGCAACAGGAGCCAGATGGACTCACGTGGACAGTTATCCCTTTTTTTTTTTAATCAACTGCTTACCATGACAGAAGGGTCTCTCTGGCAAAAGCAGGTCAGTAGGCTACAAAGAGAAAAAAACTCTCATTAAAACAGCAACCCGTGTTTTAAAATGTTCTTTACCCAAAACAGCATCATTGGGCTTTAAGGATCATTCCTATAGGATCTGAATAATTTCGTTTTTTAGGAAAGGGCTACCCTCAGGACAGCCAGTGAAAAAGTTCACACAGCCCACTCTTGATTAGTTTTCACTCACTATAAATGGAGCCAGCTGCTCTTCCCACTTCCCAATGTAGGCTCTTCACTCTAAGGTACGCTGCCAGGGTAGGAAATTGTCAGACTCCAAGTGAAAATATCTGCTCTTAAACCTCAAAAGTGATGACGAGGTCTGAACTGGGAGTGAACTTGAGTATTCTGAAATTCTGTTATTCTTCACTAACTGCTCAGTGTGTCTGGTTCTGTTTTACAAGCGCTGTGGTTTATGCCTGTGAATTTACGCCTCTGGTGCCATTCTACACTTCTTCACAACGGCACAAGTCTGGTTAGAAAGTGCGTGCTTTTGAGTCTCCTATTAAAGCCGAGACTGTGTCCCTGCGTGTGTGTGTGCGCAATTATATTTTTTAGGTCTATCAAAAAACCAAAACGTCTGTTAAAAATAAAGCTGCAGTTCTCTTCCGATTCCTAGCAAATCATGGATGTCTTCTCTGCTTTATGATCACAGGCTTATTTCTAGACCCCGTTCTTTTGGGAGCAGGCAGGCTGAGTTTTGTAACTCTTGGAGATCAGCACACATTCTCCTACCCGTCACATCAAGGATCCACAAAGACCGGGCATTCTGATGACACGTTCAAAAGTACAAGACACCCTGGGATTCACCTCTCCCTGGACCCCACCTTGAGTGGGGCGAGCTAACCACTTTCCAGGTGCCTGCTTGTCCCCCGGCCAAAGGATGGCAGTCTTCCTCAGAGAACCACCACACACTTGTAACACAGAGTTCTTCTATCAACGTCTTCTGTCTCGGCGGTTTTTGCTTGGGGTGTGGCTTCAACCACTACCAGCTGCTGAGTGAATTGGCGCAAGTTTTGAGCCCTTGTCCTCAGTGCTGTTCTCTGTATCAAATTATCTTTAAGTCAGGATTTAGCCAGAGCACATTTGCGTTCAACACACACACACACCTAGGCATCGTGGCATGTGGTGTTCTGGTTGAGGAGTGTAGTGTATGGGGATGCATTTCTGATTCCTTGCACTGCTGAGAAAAGCAAAGCGCTCTGCTTGTGCTAAGGTGCCTGGTTTTGAATGTGGGAGCCCTGGCTCCCCGTGTGCGCCACGCGGCACCATCGTGAGTGACTAAGGTGCCCTCGGCGTGGCCGCGAAGTGGGAGCTCCTCTATTGTCAGGAAAGTAATGTTATGACCAGAGCACCTGGTGAGGATGTGGGGTAAGCCAATGGTAAACAAAGGCTCTCCGTGGCTGAAGCAGATGTTACAATTCCACTGTCCACAGTGTGCCATGCGGACTCATTATTCCCAGTTTATTTGCTCCTCACAGGTCACTTACTTCTCAGAGAGAGGGAGTAAAATGTTCAGCATGACTGGTTTCAATTAGCAGTATTTTCAAAGCCAAAAAAATTATCCTGCTTGCTGGACAAGCAGAACAGTGTAATTCTCCTCTGCTGTTAACTGGTGAAAAACCATCAAGGGTGAGTCCACAGCAGGCCTTTAAGTAGCGCCATTAGCCGTGTCTACTTCAAGACACAGGAAATACGGGAAAGCAAACCTCTCCCCTCCTCGGTCCTCTATAAGTACAGTGACCAGATTACCAAAATGGACAACCAGAGACTTAGGAACAACCAATAACAAGAAGCCTAAGATCAGCAGTCTTAAGCGAAATTAATCACTATTTATTCAAAATAAGTAAGTTCTCTTACTTATAGGGAAAATATGAAAGTAAATTTCTATCCCTCGTGCCTCAAAGATAGAAACCACATTCAGAATATGTTCATTTAAAAAAAGAAAGAAGAGTTTTGGATTATCAAAACTGAAATTTAGGAACATCAACAATATGCATTGTTTCTTTGAAAAATAAAGACTATAACAGAATAATTCATGTGAAAAAAGTCACAGGTTAGGAAACAGTTTTTCCTTCTGAGCCTCATTTAGCAAGTTCTCCAAGTGTCTATCTTTCAACTTGAAAACAGACATCCCCTGAGAAACAAAGCCTTCACCCGTTCTAACGTTAGCATCACTAGAAGCTGCCTTTATGCAGGTTTCCTGCAAAGCAGTGATCGTTTACTGGGAGGTGGAAAGAAAGTTAGGATGGGGATGGCACCTCCTCCGACCTCCAGCCAGTGAGTCACCTGGCACTCAGTAAACACAACTTGGCTCCAAAAAACTAGTTAACTAGCTTGGTTTAGTTATTCTGCACTGGAGAGAAGTTTCCTTAGCAGCCAAAGTAGTCTAAGCACCATGTTTTCCAGTATCTTCCAAATCCACAGGGTTCTCAGAAAGCCAACGCTGTATCACTAGGCTTTCAGAAAAGGTGTCAGCCAATGACTCTGTGGGCCAGCGACCCTCTGATGGCACTCATGGTGTGGTGCCCAGCGAGCTGAGTGTCTACAGACACACCCTTCCACTCTGGCTGGTTTCCATGTTGAAAAGTTGAACATGATACAGTAGGTCAGAGAAGAACAAGACGCAGTCTTTTTCAACTCCCCTCCCCTTACCCAAAATACACACACACACACACAAAAGAGCTCCCATTTTATAATTTCAAGTTCATCATTTGAGAGGTTGAAGCCCCTAAAGTTTCTTCTAGTTCCTGGGCACAGCGATTATATGCTTCCAGATGTTTTCTCCAGATTTCAACTAGAAAAAAGAAAATGGGGTAACTGATAAGATAATGACAACAAGTAATAAAACACCATGAGGACACTAGCCCCACTCAGGAAACTCTGACCCTGAAAAACTCTAATGAGCTCCCTGAGCACCTGTCTTAGAGTCCGACCTCGCCACAGGGTTCTTTAAGCCACCCTCTGTCAAGGTGACACTGACTAGAAGCCTCAGACAGAAGTTTCAGTCACTGACAAGGCCTGCGACTCACCGAGTCTGGAGGAGGTCATTTCAGGCAATGGCCTGGACCCCACCAGGGCCTTGTCAGGGTCGGCCCCTGCCGTTCGGGTGACCGTGACGAAGAGCCGCAGCGTACTTGAGCCCTGCACCACCCACCCCAAGCACTCACTGTAATGTGGCTCTTCCTTCTCGGTGGAGGCTGGGTGTGCATCCTCCGCAGAGCAGCTTGGGCCCTGCGGGGGCGGGCTGGGTGGGCTGCGTGCCCCTGGCTCCTCAGCCAGCTCTCGACGCACACTTTCAAGCATGGTCTTGTACTCCTGCCGGGCTGCCATCGTCAGCTCGACCATCTTGTGGAACTGGTCCTGGGGCAGAAGACAGCAAGCATGCTGGTGGTGTGCCAAGACCATCCACAAGGACATCAGCTCCCAAAACCCGGCAGCGGTGCCTTGGGAGAGCAAGGCCACACTGGGCATCACTGCCTCCTGTGCCTGCAGGGCCGCAACTGCGGTGAGGCCACAGTGGTGGCGATTCCAGAGTAGGAGGCAGCTGGCGGCTTCTGGGCCTCGTTCAGGGAGAAGGACCAGAGCCCCTCTCAGCACCCCTGGCCAGCAGTAAGCAAGAGGGCTACGCTCTGCCACAGCCCTTTGTGGCTGCCTCTCCTCAGCCCACAGCAGCCAAGGAGTCAGGCAGTGCTCTGTGGAGCAGTGCTCTCCTCGGGCTTTCTCCCAGAGCAGCCCCTGCCCCACCTCACCTGGGCTCCGTCGTAGCTGAATATCCCCACCACACTGACAGGAACGGCTTTGTTCAGACTGCGCCCCAGAGCTTTGCGGTTGAGAGCAAACACAAACGGAATGTTCTGCTCACAGGCATAATCAATAATGGTGTGCAAAGTGTCATCCAGTCCACCTGGGTCAAAGGAAAAGGGAAACCGACAAATGAAGTACAGTACATTGCACGTGGTGGTGTACGGGCTGCAGGCAGAAGCAGCCTCTTGTTTATACTGAAGCCGGTGGCCCGTGCCACATTTCACTAGAGAAAAGGCCAAGTCACTACACCAAGTACACCAGGACAGTTCTCAGTGTTGAAGAAAACCAATTCCCAGGTACACACCTCCTTCAAGTGATAGTACTATGCTTAGCGGGAAAAACAGTGTTCGCTAATACTTAACGACTACTTACTGTGTGTCAGGCACTGCCCTGCTTTCCATGTATTAAGTCCAGCAGTTCTCACAAAGATCCTACAAGGCTGATTCTTGAATCCCCACTGACAGATGAGAAGCCAGAGGGAGAGAGAGGTGACGTCACTAGTCCCCAGCAGTTCTTCTGCAAAGAGGCAGGCAGGCTCTGGCTCCCATGAGCTACTGCCCACTCTGTGTGACATGACCAAGGGGCGCACCACCCCTCTGCACCCTGGCCCTGCTTCTGCGTGAGGCGCCAGCCAAGGCCAGTGAGGAGAGGAAGGAAGGAGGGGCGCCACGCACGGGGGTGCGCCTGCCAGCCCAGAGAATGCAGACAGATCACCAAGGAATCATTACCCACAACAGAGTTAAGTAAGGGCGTTTGTGCACAATGACTATGCACAAATCAGTAAGTATTTACACATTCCAGCAACAACCAAGTAAAACGTACAATGGAAGAAACGACTCCATTTACAACAGCAAACTACGTGGAGAGGGATACATTTACCAGAAAACATGAAAGATCTATAGAAAAACTTCAACATGCTATTACAGAACACAGCAAAAAATGTGAACACATAAAAGGATCTATGTTCTTGGACATGGTGATCCAGATGACACAAATGTCAACTCTGCGTTAACCTAAAACTTTAAAATGATGTGACCTACTACAAACAGGATTTTTTTTGGAAAATCAAAAATATGAAAAAGAACACATAAGCAAGAACAGCTGGGACACTGTGAGAAAGGACACTAATGTTAAGCCAGCATCATTTGGCGTCAACATGGCTATACAGCTACTCTAATTTCAATGAGGGGATGCAGATCGACAGAACAAACATCTACAATGACCCACATATTTGAAACTGTGATGCACAGGGCTTCAGATTAGGGTGGGGGCGGGGAAGGAGGGAAAGGTAGATTATCCCACATCTGACACTGGACAGAGTGGATTAACACTTCGCATTTCAAGCCAAAATATACTCTCTCCCAAAACATGAAGAGGGGTGAATGGTTAAGCACTCAGCTGCTAACCAAAAGGTTGGAGGTTCAAATCCACCCAGAGATGCCTTGGAAGACAGGCCTGGCAATCTAGTTCCAAAAAAATCAGCCACTGAATACCCTACGAAGCACAGTTCTACTCTGACACACATGGTGGTATGGACTGAATTGTGTCCCCCCAAAATGTGTGTCAACTTGGCCAGGCCATGATTCCTACTACTGTAGGCTGTCCTCCATTTTGTGATTCATGTAATTTTCCTATGTGTTGTAAATCCTAATCTCTGCCTGTGGTCAATGAGGCAAGATGTGGTTATGCTGAAGAGGATTAGGGTGAGATGTAACACTCTTACTCAGGTCACATCCCTGATCCAATATAAACAGAGTTTCCCTGGGGTGTGGCCTGCATCACCTTTTATCTTAGAAGAGATAAAAGGAAACAGACGTGAGCAGAGAGTCGGGGACCTCACAGTACCAAGAAAGCAGCACTGGGAGCAGAATGCGTCCTTTGGACCCAAGGTCCCTGCACTGAGAAGCTCCTAGTCCAGGGGAACATTGATGACAAGGACCTTCCTCCAGAGCCGACAGACAAAGCCTTCCCCTGGAGTTGACGCCCTGAATTTGACTTCTAGCCTCCTAGACTGTGAGAAAATAAATTTCTCTTTGTTAAAGCCATCCACTTGTGGTATTTGTTACAGTAGCGCTAGATGCCTAAGACACATGGGGTCACAATGAGTTGGAATCGACCTGACCGTAACTTTTTTAATTGTGATTTAGATAAAGGTTTACAAAGCAAATCAGTTTCTCACTAAACAATTAACACATGTTGTTTCGTGACACTGGTTGCCAACCTCATGATGTGTCAACACTCTCCCCTTCTCGACCTTGGATTCCCCATTACCAGGTTTCCTGTCTCCTCCTGCCTTCTCATCCTTGGCCCTGGGTTGGTGTGCCCCTGTAGTCTCGTTCTGTTTTATGGGCCTGTCTAATCTTTGGCTGAAGGGTGAACCTCAGGAGTGACTTCATTACTGAGCTAAGGGTATTGGGGGGCCATACTCTTGGGGTTTCTCCAGTCTCTGTCAGACCAGTAAGTCTGATCTTTTTTGTGAGTTAGAATTTTGTTCTACATTTTTCTCCAGTTCTGTCCAGGACCCTCTATTGTGATCCCTGTCAGAGCAGTCGGTGGTGGCAGCCAGGCACCATCCAGTTGTACTGGACTCAGTCTGGTGGAGGCCATGGTAGTTGTGGTCCATTAGTCCTTTGGACTAATCTTTCCCTTGTGTCTTTGGTTTTCTTCATTCTCCCTTGCTCCAGACAGGGTAGGACCAGTGGAGTATCTTAGATGGCTGCTCACAAGCTTTTAAGACCCCAGACGCTACTCATCAAAGTAGAATGTAGAACATTGTCTTTATAAACTATGTTATGTCACTTGAGCTAGATGTCCCCCGAGACCATGGTCCCCAGCCCTCAGCCCAGTAATTCGGTCCCTCAGGGAGTTTGGATGTGTCCATGGAGCTTCCATGACCTTGCCTTGGTCAAGCTGTGCTGACTTCCCCAGTGTTGTGTCCTGTCTCACCCTTCACCGAAGTTACCACTCATCTAATGTCTATTGGTTAGGTTATTTTAAACATAAAAAAAAGAAAACATGGAAAAACGAGGAAAAAAACAGGATTAGAAAAATATCATTGGAGTGGGGAATGACATAAAACCTAGATGCCATAAAAAAATAAGAACATCAAATACCAATCTACAGAGCACCTGAAACCTCTGCATGCCTCCCCTCCCCTCCCCCAAAAAGACAAATGACAACCACAAACATATCTGCAACTCTTAAAGGGCTAACTTTCTTATTATAAAAAAAAGTACAAATCAATATAAAAAAGAACCGTACGCACCCACAAGACAAATGGCAAACAACCAAGAGTTCACAGAAAATACCAAGCTCTCTGAAATAAGTTAAGATGTTCAGTCTCCTTGTGAAAAATGCTAAGAAAACTCTCCCGAGGGCGGGTGGAGGGGGGGTGGGGGGGTGCTGCAGGGGCCTCTGGGAAAGGCCGTGTGGCAACAGGCACCACAGTTACACACACACCGTTCACTTCTAGGCATATACTCACACGTCGGGAATGACAACTGTACAAGGGGGCCTGCTTTACAATCGCAGAAGTGTGAAAACGACCTAAGTGTTCATCAGAGTGGGACTGTGGGACACGCCAAGAAGCACACAGCCATTAAGAAGGATGACACAGAGCTGCAGGAGAGGTGGCAGGAGGTTCACTGTCTGCTGCCCACCCAGCATGTCACACTCAACAAAACAAAACAAACCTCAAATGGCAAAGTATTCAGATAAACTTACACCTTTAATTAAAGAACAGATAAGTTAATCACAGATTGAACAACTAAACTTAAAACTGACAGAAGCCCCACCTAGGTACTGCATGACAGCCAGGGACAAAAACTCCGTCGTGTTTGGCAGGTTCTACTAAAGCTGAAAGTCAGTCTGCCCTGGGATCCAGAAATTCCGCTCCTGGGCAAACAACCAACAGAGAAAGAGCTCTAGGCTGGGGCTCCAGGGCAGAGCCAAGCAGCGAGGCTCTGAGCTTTCTGCATGCAGAAGGGACCCTTCTGCTGCCACAGGCCTTCCTGGCTAAGGGGACAGGGACCTATTGGGAACTCACTATGTAAGACCACAGAAGGCCTGCCTCCCCAACGAAGATTAGGTGACGGTGGTCAAATGCACTTTGGAAACAACGATTAGTCATTTTAAAAAACCAAATCACACCGCCTGGTCCTGTGGCACACGTCTCAGCCACCGTCGGCGGTGGAATTGTGGCACAGGTGCTCCCGCTCCAAAGGGCGAACAGCTGCTCTCACCTTTGGACTGTATCTTCTCACAGTTGGGAGAAATGATGACGCATTTCAGCTTTCTGAGCTTGAGGTGTTTGAGAACTTCTCTCAGCCCCAACACGAGCCGGCGTTTGGTCTTGGCCTTGACTGGGTCCTTCTGGTACATGCGGTCTTGGAAACGTACCAGCTCTTTCAAAAGATCCGTAACACAGGCATCAACTTCTTTACTCAGCATCTGGCTGCAGTAACTGAAAGACACATCACGCGTCACCAACGTTTCCATTGGCTGTGCCGTCCTCCCAGCACTATTCCCACCAAACCTCAGAGAGAAGAGGTGCAGACAGCGTTAAGTCCTTTTCAAGAAACCACATTTTGATGAGTAATACTAATCAAAAATGGGCAACTCCTGACTGACCTGATTTTATGAAAAGACTGAGGCCTCCTCCCCCACGCATCTCTACGCCCACTGTGGTGTGACACACCTCCCCTGTGAGGAAGGGTCCTGCCCCCATCTCTGGCCACTCCCCACTGAGAACACAAATCCCTGGAGAGTCCACCCAGGAAGACAAGTGAAAGGGGAGAAGACAGAGCATGCCAACAGGGCTAAAAGCATCCTTTCCTCAGAAATCAGAAGTGATACCACCAAAGGAAGCCCAGATGTCACCTGCAGCTCACCCACCCTCAAGGGGGATCTGAGGGCGCCTCGCTCCACACGTTACTAAGAGAACAGAAACTTCCACAGAAGCATATATAGACACAATTAGCCACCTCTGAACAAATGTTATAATGAAGTACCTGGCCACTTTAAACCACTAGGACAAAAAGACAGTGTGCTGAGAATCCTAAGAGTGGAACAAGTAACTGCCAAATCAAACCTAAGCACACAACTCCCCCATCAAGTCATTAGCAGAGGCAGGGTAGAGGAACCAAGGCTTACTCACTCCCTGAACCTCCGGCTGTGGATCTTTGGGAAGCTGGCAGAGTCGAGACCGAGATGGCAGGCTTCTATGTCACTTTGGGGCTCAGCTCTGAGCGGCTCTTCTGACCCGCTTTCCTCTACAAGAGTGGAGGGGACCGATTCTTCTGTTTCCCCTGGAGCTTTACAAAGCAAAGAAGTCACAGTATAGGGCCTGTGGAACACGCTGCACAAATGAAGATGCACCTACCAGTATGTCACCCCCAACAGTGCCTGCCCGAGAGTCTCAAGAATGCAACCTCAGGCTGCACATACCCATCATGTTAATAAACGTGGGTGGTGAGTGCTTTTACAGAGGGCAAATAAAACAGATGAAAACGCCGTGGGGAAAAACGGAAAAATTAGTGGAGACGGACACGAGAGCCTTCTGGTCTGTCTGTATGTCTGCCTCTCCCCCCACCGCCACCCCACCAACACCCAAATTTATTTTTTAATTTTGAAATTTAACCTGAAGAATCTCGTATCAGAAAGTTTTAGAAACCAGATTTTTAGTTCTATATTTTTTTGCACTTGAGACCATTCATTGATCAAACAATCCTTAGATGAGAGCTGAACTAAAACATCTCAACTATTAGACCCTCAACAGGTGTGTTCCAACACACCAACAATAGTTTGGCAAGAGCTTAAGGTCCCCATCTGATCACTGCCAAAGATCATCGGCATGCAAAGTGAGGTAACAGATCACTGAGTGAAGGAGTTTAGGAAAGCACACCGCACCCACCATACAGACACACATGAAAAACACAAACAACATGCCACAGGCCGGCAAGGATGTGGAGCACTACTGGCTCACATACTCCCGGTGGACCTGTAACTGGTAAAAACCTGTTTGGCAGGTTCTACAAAGCTGAAGGTAAGTCTGCCCTGTGACCCAGCAATTCCGCTCCTGGGCAACTGCCCAACAGAGCCAAGTGTTCATGTTCTCCAAAACACAACACACAATGTCCACAGCAGCCCTACTTGTGAGGGTCCCGAAGTGGAGACTCCCTGAATGCCCATCAGTAACCTGGTGTATTCACACAATGGAATACATACTATTCAATGACGAACATAATGAACTGCACTGACGTGGCACAAGATGGCTGAACTCCACAAACATCATGTGGAGAGAAAGAAGTAGATACAGAAGAGCATATACTGTGTGACTCCACTGATATGAAGTTCAAAGACACAGCCACGGTGCTGCAGTCCGGGCAGTGCTGCCCTTTGGGGAAGGGGGTGGGAAGGCCTCTGACCAGAAGGACAGTGGGGGTATTTCTGGGGTTCTGTTCTATTTCTTGATCTGGGTTCTGTGTTCACTTTGTGAAAAGTCCTCAAGCTGTACACTTTTGACTTGTGCATTTTGAATATATATTTCAATAAAGTGTACTTAAAAATATATAGACATTATTTTTTAAGATACCCTGACTTGTACACTTCTGGGTGAGCAGCTTTGTAGTAAGTGGTGTTAATTCTCATGGCTATTCCAAGTTATAAGGATATCCAGCGCCACCCAGATCAAACTCAGTGGCCTTGTCTCCTTGTCCCTCACACACTCCCAGAGCCAGGATGCCAGAAGTCCGATCCTGCCATCCATGTGTACTTTCTCCTATTAGAAAGCTAGGAGTCTGCACACCTTTGCATGGCCCTGAGGTACAGCCCTGACTTGCTTTTTTTTAACCACAAAGGTGGAAGGTGTTGGCAAAGTTCCAGACGGTCTGCGACACACACGTCTCAGCTGTCCTGGCTACTCCCACTTCAGGGATTGTTTAAGACGCAAACAGGAACCCATACCTGAGGGGTCAGCCTGCGGGAGGGACTGGTCATCTCCACTGCTCTCCACGTCTTGCACAGCGTCACTTGCAATATTTTCTTGGAGACGCTGCTGCTTCCTCTCCTGCCGTTCCTTCAAAATAATCTTTAAAAAATAAATGATTAAATATCACCTAAATACTTCTTCTGCAAAATAAATTGCCCAACTTCAACTTGTTGACCATGCAACTGTGTCCTTAGGGTCACCACGCTCCCCATTCTCTGGGAGACCTGCCCAACCTCTGATCTTCTGTGTAGGGAAGTCACCCCCACCCTTGCCCCAGGACAGGGGTGGACTGTGATGGAGCAGGCATACGAGAGCCGGTTCCGATGCCAATGCTGACATACGACAGTCTCCTAGCCAAGGGCAAGTTTCTCAGTCCCTCTGAGTGACCCTGACCTCGGGACCCACCACAGACCACAGGGCTACTGTAAGCATTAAAGGAAAGGACATCTGTCACAGGCCTAACAGAACGGGTGCAGAGAGGGCTTCAGAGTCAGTGAATCTGAATGAGAGACAGACCGTCTAGGGTACAATGATGACAGACAGTGGGAATGAGAAAACGTGACCTCTTCATTTCTGCTTTCCTGTCCATGTCACTGGGGACTAAAATACAGACACAGAACTTTCCCTCTCAGGCAGTTCCTGCCCCGCGCGCCCCGTGGAGTCAAGCAGTTCCTGCCCCGCGCGCCCCGTGGAGTCAAGCAGTTCCTGCCCCGCGCGCCCCGTCCATCAAGCAGTTCCTGCCCCGCGCGCCCCATTGAAGTGGGGGAGCGGGTGAGTGTTTCCACAGCACCGGGAACACAACCTGATACGATCCCCGAGTGGTGTAAGCCCTGAAGTCTACAAACCTCAGTCCTGAAAAAAGGAAACCTGGACCCGCAACATGTGAAAGGCCTCCCAGGGTCTCGTTTCACGCACCTTCTTCAGGGAGGTTGGCTTCTTGGCCTTGGGCACCTCTCTCTGCTTTCCCTTCTTCCTCAGCGGGGCACTGGAGTCTAAGGGGTTGTGAGGGGTCAGCACCTGGTTCAAGTGGTGGTTCTTCATCCCTGACGTCGCTTCTCTGGAAAGGACTGGCACTGCACCCACTGAAACAGAGTGCGCACGATACGCCACACGCTTGGTCTGCCAGAGCTCGTGCTGCGCAGGCTGGAAGGAGCCCCACGCCGCCCCACGCCGCCCCGGCCCCGGCCCCACGCCGCCCCGGCCCCAGCCCCGGCCCTAGTCACACCTTTGTCACGTGATCTTAAGACAATCTTTTAACTGGCAATGATTCTATAACACTGGGGAGCTTTTGGACACAAACCACAAAAAATTATCAAATAATTGGAGACCTATCCTCCTGTCCATTTAATCAAATCTCCCGTTTCTCAGTAAAATGTAACAATGTGTCTCTGATCTTCAGACTAAAAGTCTTTCTCATCATTTTATATTAACTATTAGTATTGTGCATACATCTCTCTTCATCACCATTTCCATAAAACTACTGATTTTTGTATGTATCATCTTCTATCTAGCTGCCTTATAAGGCCCTTATAAGAGTCTAATATTTCTAGTTGATTTAGTAGAGTTTTCCAGATATTCAACCGGTGGCGATTGCTCTACACAGTCAATGAATTATAGTTACTACTGGATACTTCTATTTTCCTGTCTTCGTCTACTTCCTACCTTAGTAACTCCTTCAAAGAAATTGCTAACTTGTGTATACTTTCTTGTTTTTTGACCTTTTACTAGGAAAATTTCCAAACATACACTAACAGAGAATGGTACAACCAACTCTTATGTATCCACCATCCAGCTTCAACCACCACCCGTATCTTCCCAAATGTATTTTACCCACCCTCCTTTAATTATGGAGTCCTTTTTTTAAATTGGTGCTGTATCCATCAGGTATGCCCATTAAACCTCACCTGGCCAACTACCTGCTTAATGTGAAAGAACGTTTTACTTGCACAAGTTATATAAACTAAGCATAAAAACATTCGTACCATCCAAAACTACGATACCCTTCCTTCCAGGCTGCTTAGCTAAAGCACAACTGCTTATACCTTAGACTGGCTCACACAGTATGGGACTAGCTCTACTTTTCTATCAGCTTTATGTAAAAAATATCCTCTACTGACCCAGCTCACATGTGCTAGCTTTCCTTCACCCCTGAGGCTACTGCCACGTTCAGCATCTCACTTGAGCTCCTGCAACAGTCTACAGCTCAGTCTCAACAGTCTGACATCATACTGACCACCCACCGCCTCCACGTGACTGTGCGAACCATACCCCCAGAGTGGTAACCACGTGACTGTGCGCAGAGCCCCACCCACACAGTGGTAACCACGTGACTGTGTGTGGAGCCCTACCCACACAGTGGTAACCACGTGACTCCGCTCGGAGCCCCACCCACACAGTGGTAACCATGTGATTCTGCGCAGAGCCGTACCCACGTGCCTGGTGAGAGTCACTTCTGGCACAACAGAGTGAGGAGGCTGATAAAACTCTCCCCAAAAGCAGCCACAAAGCTGGACAAAATGAAACAATGGCCCCAAACTTCCCAAATTTGATGAAAAACATTCATTTACAGAGCCCAAAACCACAAGCAACTCTCACTGTTGTCAGTTCTGACTTACAGGGACTCAAGCAATTCCAGGTAGGATAAAAACAGAGATCCACACCTGGGCACTACAGTCAAATTGCCAAAGGTCAAAGGATGGATGGACAGCTCAAGGGTCAGTGACTTTTTATTAAAGAGCCTGATAATAAATATCTCCAGCTTTGTGGGCCATACGGTTTCTGTCACAACTCAACTGCTGTAACGATGCAAAAACAGCCGTATCGGCTGCTATGAAGTCGATTCCGGCCCATGGCGACCCCATCTGTGTCGAAGTAGAACTATACGCCAAAGGGTTTTCAATGGCTGATTTTTTGGCAATAGATCACCAGGGCTTTCTTCCAAAGTGCCTCTGGGTGGACTCAAACGGCCAACGTTTTAGTTAGCAGCTGAGTGCGTTAACCGTTTGCACCATCCAGGAAGTCCAAAAGCAGCCACAGACGATACTTAAATAAAATCTTATAGAAACAGGCAACTGGTGGGCCAGTCTGCTGACCCTGACATAAGTTATGTGACAGAGCAAACACGGACAACTGTTCATCTAGGTGGTAAGCATAAGGGCACAATTTATTCTGCTTTTCTGTGTGTCTGAAAACCTTCTTAAGAAAAATCCCACCTCCCCTGAAGAGACAGAATATGTTCATCCTTTCTGGAACTAATGCCATAAAACTTGGCATACTCCCCTTTTAACCCACTGCCAGGAAACTCAATGACAAAACTCAACCCAAGCAAGTATGCTGAGTAAAAGCTTCTGTGTCAATTTCATTGGGTACCTATTGTTCTCTTTTTACAAATGTAGTACACTTAAAAACAAATAAATACACTGTCTCAAAAGGAGGAAACATATTTAAAACACTCTCATGAAAAATATGCAGATTTGTTTTCATGACAGTGTCAGTTCTACCTAGCTCGGCTCTAGGAGAACACCTTTCGGAGGAGAGAGAACTACTGAGTCATTTCTGACTTGACACCGTCACTGGCTGGTCGCATGGACAGGAAATAACATTCTATGAAGTACAGCTTCCTCGCCTGCACCGTAAAGACCTTTGGGAAATTGGTCATAGAAAACGAGATTTTTAGGTACACACTGTCATCATATCAAGCGGAAAGCTCCTCACCTTCTAGTAAGACCTACTTTGTAAAACCATATTTAAATAACTTGATTACAAGAGAACACATTCACAATAGTTTATCTGAAAAAGATTTTCAGCTACTTGTCTGAGAGGAAAGAAGGCTCTCCTACCTGAGACCACCACGGGTTTGGAGGACTGCTTTGCATTCTGGGAGTGCTGCTTTTTCTCCAGTGCTGTGAGCATTCCGCCCAAATCCAGCTGAACTGGGATTTCACTCTTCTTTCGACTACTTTTAAAATTGTTCTAAAAAGTTAAAATATCAGAAGTTTATAATATTTTACAAACCATGCTTTTCATTTTATGACAGTCATATACAATTAAAGATCCAACAAAATAGTTTTAAAGACTATAAAAATGTTAAAATTTAAAAGTAACTTACTGAAAAGTAATTCAGGAAAAAGACCAACCCTACATCGTCTGCCTGTAACACTGCCATCACTGTCTGCGTCCTTCCTTCTGAACACTGGGTTTCTACTAAGCCACCTGTGTTTCTGTCCGCATCTGCATTCTGGGTGACAGCATCCATCCACAGACAAGCAGCCATGGCTTGTAAGAAGTCTCTGGCTCTAATAGTTGGTGTGCAAGGCTAAACGGTTAGTTTATTGCTCCTTAGCGTCAGCCACTCTCCAACTGCATAAATGACCGTCGTGAAATTAGCGTGCTATGACCAAAATTTACACAAGTCCAGATCACACCCAGCAGGCGAGCACTAAATTTAGGCACAAAAATTGACACTCTAAACAAATATTTTTGAACAGTGGTGATGTTTTGACATTATATAAGAAGGGGCACAAGAAAGTCCTAAGGCATGCTGTCTCATCTCCTTTAACACCTTCACCCAGCTCTCCTGCCAACAGCTCTCTTCCTCCCTGATCCAAAGCCCCTACTGGCTGATCTCACAGGGTGGGGAGGGTGCCGAGTGCAACAGCACAGGGCTGCAGAGAGACGACCTGCACGGGTGGAAGGTGACCAAGCTAGAACATGTGGAAGTGAGTTAATTCTCAAGGGTTTAGAATTTTATTTTTCATAAATGTGAAAATGTCCTGCCTCTGAAGGCAAAACAACCATGGAAATGCTAGAGAAGAAATGGCCAAAAGCACGTAAGTTCTCCATCTGAGTTACGAGTCACAAGTCACAACTTCATTCCTGAGTCTACAGTGCAGGTGGGGCACAGGGGAAACGCTCTCCTCTTGGGCTTCCGTTCTGATTACGGCCATCCCTTGGGATCTTCAGGGAACTGGTTCCAGGACCCTCGCGGATACCAAAGTCCACGGATGCTCAAGTCCCTCATATAAAAAGGTGCAGTGTTTGTGTATGACCTACGCACATCCTCCCGTATACTTTAAATCATGTCTAGATTACTTAGAATACTTAGAACAATGTAAATGCTATGCAAATAGCTGCTATACTGCATTGTTTAAGGAATAATGGCAAGAAAACAGTCTGTCCACGTTCAGTAGAGATACAGTCACAGCAGGTGTAACTACACAGTACACGTCAGCAACAACGTAACTTTTTTTCCCCCAAATATCTATGATCCACAGTTGGCTGGATCTACCGATGCGGACCTGCAGATATGGAGGGCCAACCGTATTTAAGACAAAATTGTGGTGGCTCTCCTATGTCTCTTCTGTCAGACAGTACTGTCTCACAAAAGAATTCTCAGACTTCCTGAATAAACTGAGTCAAGGTATTTTTTTTTTTTAAGCAGAGTTTCATAAGGCAGTTCTTGTGTCCCCGCCGCCACCCACCCTGCCTTTCTGATATAGCAATACCAGTTACCAAGAGTCTTATTACAAAACCCACAAAACACTTCAGCTTAAAAGCAATTTTGTTTCAACATACTGGGTGCAGGGCTCCAACGAAGGTATGAATCCAAACAAAACCACCTGTTTCAGTATACAAGGAAGTCTGGAAAGCAGTTTTTCTTAGGAGTTTAGTTTAGCAAGAAAAGTTAAGCCTCAAACCAGTGTGGTTTCCATCTAACAATTACCTGTTGCTGCTGTTTAGATTGAAATTTTGTTGACTCTACTCTGTTTCTTCTTTCAGAAGCAACTGCCAGATTGGGAAACTCTTCGGCATCCTAAGTAAACCACACAGACCTTCAGCTCTTTATTCACCATGAGAACGCAAATATGCCCAAATGTAATCTTTCGGTTGCTCGTATTTCTTCTCTTTAATAAGCTCCCACAAAAGTTCTCAAAGGAAATACAAAACAGCCCAAACACTCTCACATAAGAAATTCTGCTTTAACTTTTAGCAGCTTACAAAACTAAAGACCACAGCACTAACACTATGTGGCCCAGAAGACAGACAGTGCCACCGAGAATCGTGGTCCATCTAAGGAGTCGAGAGAATTGACCCTTAACCACCTTGGCTGAGAATGTTCAAACCCTGGTTCCTCAACTGTGTTTATCGTTAGAGAAACCATCAAATCTAGACTCAGCAGATACGGGAATTCTGCAATTTGTGCTGAATGCAGGCTACAACATAGAAAGGCAGTATGCCTATTAGAAAACACTTTTTACATCACTTAAAGATTATTTTGTTATCTTTGCCAATATTTTAGGTGCCTGGGAGAAGTTATGGGGGAAATATGGAACAGAAGACATCACGAATTGTTTACTGATCTAAATAACGATGCTTCAAACACATAACCCAGCTCTTCCCAAATGGATATTCCAAGAACCCTGGAGTCCTCCTAGGTTTATGGGAATGCCTCAGGATGAGCATTTAGGCAGCAGCTCTGTGAGGCTCTTCCACCTGCGCAGGCAGCCAGGTTACCTTACTCTGGTTTGGCCGTGTAAAGAGAGGAAGCAGCCACCTGGGAACTGCAGCCAGAACCTAGGCTGGATCCTGGGAGGACAGGGCATCCTTGGAGGAACACGGGGTAATGATTAAAGAGCTCTTTTGGAAGCCCGTGGAATTCTCCTCACCAGGACTCCTGATGGATCTACAGTATTCTGAATTTCTCTACAGTGAGTCACTTCATGAGATTTCTGGACAGAAAAGGAGGCCCTGCAAAAGTCAGCATTCTAAAGCAAGCAAGCAAGCAAAAAAAAAAAAAAAAAACCAGTAACGAAGATTCTGAGGTGTAAATATTAGTAACATGGCACACAAACTACCAACTCCGATATACGCAGTTTGTCTAGTTTGTTTACTGAACTGTTTGGAGTGCCTGCTATAACCCAGGCCCTGTTCTGGGAAACAAAAGTGAAGGAGCAAAGAAAATGGGTGACTGCTCTTTTCTTTAGCACTAGGAAAATGATTATTAAAGAAAATGCTGGATATTTACACTTAGGAAACCAATAAGAACCCATGCTTCTACTAGGAAAGATACATTTCCTACATCATACAAGGTGAATGATAATATAAATGTACTTCAATCCTTGGTGGCTCTTGAACTGTCAGGACTTCGTATTTTGGTTTAGATTTTTCTTTCTTTTTCTTATTCTTTCTCGAGACTTCATTTTGCTCAGGGTTGCCACCTTGTAATACTTTGGACTACAACAAAAAACAACAATAAAAAAAACATGGGTTTTTAGGACATTCATTATAATGCTTTAATTCTGTGTACTAGATAAAAACTAAGATATCAAGTTGTATAACTACATGGCAATTTTATCCAGATTTAGGCTTCTCATTCCCTATTTACAAACAGCCAGCATTCAGGAGAATGATTCTGAAGGGGAAAAAAACAGTTAAAATAGTTATAATGCCCAATTCATTTTGAAAAGTGGTAGACCGGGGCATGCAAGAGATTCCTTTTTCCCAAAACTGTTCCCTAGAATATTAGATTTATCATGTCTGTATTTAAAAACTCATAATACATAAAATTTTAAAGGACAAAAAAAACATGACCACTCTCAGCCAAGTTTTGTAAAATGTAAATCCATTAGAGTGATAAAATTACTGGAAACCTTAGTTTTCTTCCCTACTTACATTCTAGGAATTTTCTAAAATAACCTTTCCTTGCACATATGATTTTAAAAATAATTTTAAATAAAGACTCGGAAAATACAACAAAATTGGTTAACTGCTAGAATGTGAAATCCATTTTAGGAAAAGTGGCCTGGACAGTGACTTGGAAGCTGCAGCAGAGCACCAGACCAAGTGCGGGGTAGCTGTCCGGTCTGCACACAAATGCTGGAGGACCTCCGAGACAGTGGTAAGAGATCTCAAAAGGCATGAGGGCTCCACCCCCAGCCAAGCTTTGTCGGTAAGCCAAAGGAAGGACCTATCACCTACACATACTGCTACTCTTCAAATGAATGCAGAAAACTGGGATGAATAAAGCACTTACGTCTGACATCACTGTAGTTTTTACTGTTATATTTTCCCATAATAAATTAATCACAAACATACAGCTCCCATTTATGCGGGATGACTTAGGACATTTTTGGGTATCAAAAAGTAGCCTCATACTCAAAAAGATAGAAAACTGCTGCACTAAACAAATAAGACTGTGTGTCAACCTAAAATAGGGTATCAGTACACAGTGAAAATTAAGAGCAAAATCTAGACCAACAGAAGTCTCTTGAACAATTAAGTCTAGCGATCAACAAAAATGACAATTTGCATTAAAAGGGAAAAAACCAATTCTGAAATGCTATCTTATAATAAAGAAATAAATCACAATTAACCAAGAACCAGTAACATACACCAGATGATCACAAAATGTGGAATTCAAGTATTTTGTTTCCAGTACCCTACTACAGTATTCCACAGACTCCTGGAGAAAACAAAAGATGCAGCGAATCTACACTAGAGTGTGAACTTATGCCAGCATCTCTCCTTTAAAGAATTCCAAATGGTTCACAAATACTCTAAGACCATAGGAGGAAGATGCATACCCTCCCCCCATGTACAAAAGCTATCATTTTTATTCCTTGACTGATCATCTATTATTTTTTCAAAGTACAACAAACTCACAGTGCTAGGAAGTGAGAAAAGAAGGGACTGTCTAGAGGTGCAAAGGAGCAGCATAATCAAAATGTGATGCGTACCTTTTTAGTAGGATGAACAGTATGCTTCTCTTTGTTGGAGGAAGGATCAGAAGATAACACTTCAGAAGATGCTACATTAACGGTTTTAGGATTTGCTGATGAAGCAACTGTCTTTAGGTTTATCATGGAAGTAACATTTTTAGGGGCTGGTGACTGTTCTGTAGACAATGTCTGTCGAACAACATAACCCATTGGTGTCCAAGATAACTCTGCTCAAAGATAACCAAAATTGTTGAACAATCTCAACAGTAAAGCAAAAATTCCTTAGTTACTCAAACATGCATTACATGAGGTAATTACTCAGAGCATGATTAAATCTGGGCTATTGTTCAACACATCCCCTCGTAAACTATAGTACTCACTAAACTTGTTTTTCTTCTTGGAGCATGCATGCTGAATTTCTCCCTTTAACTTAAAAGGTTAATTGTCACAGAAACTGGTCTTTTAACTTGGGAGGTGGGATGGGTAGATAACATTTTCAGTTAAAAAACAATAATCCATAATTTTGTCCATGTGGCAAACACACAGAATTAATGAACTAAAGATCAAATTTTGGCCCTACTAACTTGATGTGTACTTTTAACATCAGAAGTCAAAGATTACTAGACTTTAGCTTTCACAACTAGTGAATTCTCTCTTTTTAGAACACAGGTTTAAGTACAGCACTATTTCTTCTTGGGTGCCCAGGAAACTCTATACAGACAGAACAAAAGGACCAAAAAACCAAACCCACTGCCCTCGAGTCAACTCCAACTCCTAACAACCCTAAAGGTCAGAGTAGAACCACCCCCTAGGGTTTCCAAGGCTGTAAATCTTTACAGAAGTAGGGATCTTTCTCCTGCGGAGCGGCTGGTAGGTTCGAACTGCCGACCTTTCAGTCAGTAGCCAAGCACTTAACCACTGCGCCACCAGGACTCCTAAACAAAAGGACATCCATCATGGTATCAGCAGATGACCTCTGGAAGCTGAACACCTGTCAGCAGCTCATGGCTACACCACAAGGCAGGAGACAGTTCTTATCAACATCTAGCTTGTAGCCTTAGTTCAGCCTGCAACCTCGGAGCAACCTCCAAAGTGAAGATTTTTACAGAACCACATAGAAACCAGACATAAGAATGGGGGAAGAAAAAAAAAAAAAGCATCTGCAGGTAACTGTGGAATACTTTATGAAAACATTCTTCTGTTAGGACAAGCTACTATAAATTTAAAAGGCAGAAGCTACTAAACTCTCTCCAAATAGATTACTTCTTAGCTAGGAAAGGACAGGTCAGGAGTTTTCAAAGTGTAGTCCGAGGTCCCTGAAAGCCTTTCAGGAGGTCCCCGTCACAACTATCTTCACAGAACTCCTAATGCATGAAGTGCCTTTCGCCCTCACCCTCCCTCACAGGGTGTGCACGGTGTTCCCCAGGCTGCAAGACACGTGACCGACCGTGAAGCAGGTCCACTGAGCCAGATACTGAAGAGAACCCAAAATGCACAACGGTGCTGCTCATCTCACTTTTTTTGGGGGGGGAAAACAGTTCTGCTTTACAAAAATTGGTTATTATGTTAACATATAACAGGCCTATTATTGCTATTTTTAAGCGAATTAATAAAAAATAATATAAATTTCCCTGTTTGAACTTCTAATATGATGAATTATGATAGATATTGCTCCTTTGGGGCTTTCAATGTTTAAGAGTATTAAGGAATCCTGAGACCAAAAGATCTGAGATGCAATGGCATAGGTAATAGTTAAGTAATGATTTCTGAGTCCATGAAATTTCTCACTTAATTGCACAAATTTTTTTTTTTCCTCGTATTTTATACTCCTTAAAAGGAGCCCTGGTAGCACAATGCTTAAGTGCTTGGCTGTGAACCAAAAGGCCAGTGGTTTGAACCCACCAGCCGCTCCATGGGAGAAAACACCTGGCGATCTGCTCCCATACAGATTAAGCCTAAAAACCCTATGAGGCGGTTCTCCTCTGTCATACGGGGTTGCTGTGAGTCGGAACTGGTTCAAGGGCACACAACGACAACACGCTCCTTACGCAGAGGTGGGAACTCATCTACTTAACTTTTCTAAACTAACGCTGATGTCAGTTTATCAACAGCCCATCAGCTGCCTTAAAGAAGACTTTAAAGCAAACATATTTCCACTGCACTGGAATTCAAAATGAACCTAGAAAAGAAAAAACCAATGTTTAAAAATAATATTTTGTAGCCACTCTTACCTCTTGTACAGGAAGAGGAACTGCTGGCGGCACTATCAGCCACAGATGCGGCTGGATTTTTACTTTTGACCGCTATTTCACCCTAAAAAGCAAACCAGTTATTTTCTTACTACAGGAACCAAAAGATATCATTTAATTTTTATATATAGCTTCCTTGCCCTTCTTAAAATCTGCAAATGGTGTTAATTTAAAAATTCAAATACGTAACTACATAACATAAAACGTCAACTTCCTTCCTTCTCCCAAATCTCTCTCCCTAGAGAAAGAACGACCTTTCACCTACAGCTAAGTTAGCGACTTTCTACTTCTTTGCCTGTGATAGAAATGTACATGCTTTTTTATATGGATCTCAATAATGGGATCAAACCACACATAACTTTGTACAACTTTAAAAAAATAAAAAAAACTTACTATATTATAGACAACTTTCCACATCAGCACAGATATGTCTACACGATCCCCCCACCCTCAGGATAAGTTTAGGGTTAGGGTGAGGGCTAGGTTTATGGTTAGGGTTAGGTAACCAGTTATGGCTTAAGTTAGTGTTAGGAGCAGTTCTAGGGCTTGGATTAAGGTTAAGTTTAGGGATAGGGTTCTTTTTTTTTAAATGTTTTATTGTTTTTGGTGAAGATTTACACAGCAGTTTAGGGTCCCATTCTACACAAATTGTTCAGTGACACTGATTACACTCTTCACAATGCATGAATATTCTCATTATTTCCATTCTGGTTGTTCTGTTTTCATTAATCTAGTTTCCTTGCCCCCTTACATTCCCATCTTTGTTTTAAAGTAATTGTTGACCATTTGGTTTCATCTAAGTGGTTTTTTAAAGGAGCACAGTACTTACAGGTGATAATCATTTTTTTTAGACAATTTATTATTTACCTGCTTCACAAACTGAACATAAGATATACAATGACACTATTTGGTGATGGGGATGTATGAGTATATTACAACAGACACCTCCAACTGACCAACAGCACTAGAGGTCTGTCATGGATTGAATTATGTCCCCGCAAAATATGTGTCAAGTTGGTTAGGCCATGATTCCCAGTATTGTGTGGTTGTCCTCCATTTTGTGATTGTAATTTTTATTAGAGGATTATGGTAGGACTGTGATACCACCCTTACCCAGGTCACATCCCTGATCCAACGTAAAGGGAATTTCCCTAAGGTGTGGCCTGCACCACCTTTTATCTTACAAGAGATAAAAGGAAAGGGAAGCAAGTAGAAAATGGGGGACCTCATATCACCAAGGAAGCAGTGCCTGGAGCAGAGAGCATCCTTTGGGCCCAGGGTCCCTGTGCGGAGAAGCTCCTAGTTCAGGGGAAGATTGATGAATAGGCTGACAGAGAGAGAAAGCCTTCCCCTGAAGCTGACACCCTGAAATTGGACTTTCAGCCTACTTTACTTTTAGCCTACTCCTCCTTGTTAAAGCCATCCACTTGTGGTATTTCTGTTAGAGCAGTACTAGATGACTAAGATAAGGTCAAAGTAAATAAATAACTTTAGTGTTAATCCATAAAGTAGACACTTGAGTTAACATAATTTTTAAAGCTAATATGTTTCATAAATTTACTCACTTAGCTATTTCATTGTATCTGTGCCCAGTAATAAAAAATAATCAGAACACAGCCTGATCTTTTAGTAAATATAACTTTTATGCTCACCAAGGCCAATGAAAAATTAGAAACAGCTTATCTGTTCAAGAATGGCTAAATAAATTACAGCATAGTAACGTGATAAATACAATAGAACAGTTACGTTTTCAAGAAATGGTTACTGATGTGGAAAAAAAATGCCACAAAGGCTTCTAAAAATTCAAATACAAGACTATATATGTGTGTATATATGTGTGTGTATATATATATATATATATATATGTATATGTATGTATACATATATGCATAACTCCACACTGAAGGAAGCCCTATCCCACCCCCCCATTCCCACAACAGACTATAAAAAACAAAAAGATTAGCTGTTAATCATGGTTTTCACATGGTTGTATGATTTCAGACAAATATGTATTTTTTTCTTAATATTTTTCTGGTGTTTACAGATAATACAATCAGAAAGGTTTCTTTCGGGAAGAAAATTAAAAAAAAAAAAAGACACAAAAAAAGAGTGGGACCATACAGTAAGGCAATCAGTATGGTAAATCGTACACTAACATTATGTACCTTAAACCTTACTTCATGTCCAAACATGTAACACTCACAAGTCACATGTCACCCCCCCAGCCACCGACTCACGCCCTCTACCCGTGGCTCCCACACGCCCTGTACCAGTTCTCTGTGGTGCTCACGAGCTGGAAGTGTCCACTGACTCTGGAGTACCCGAGTCTCTCGCCCACTCGATGAAGACACGGAGCTGCACGAGTGTTCAGCTAGCACACATACCCCAGGGCCAACGCCGGGCACAAAGGCAGTCAACTATCTGCCCAAAGAAACTGACTGCTGTGAATTAACCAGCTGCACCTCCCACAGCAATTTAAGGGGACAAGGATTTCCTGTAATGACGTAAGGGTCAGCGCACACCCTGGTAGATTTGAGGCATCCCGTAAGCCATGACCACCGAAGATGGGAAGAAGAGAAAGAGAGAAACAAAGGAAACGAACCTCAACTGACCTCTGCTAACACTGCGGGTGGTTTTCTCTCTCTCAGCAGAGAAACGCTGGTTGCAGCAGAGTGCAAAGGGCCCCATTTGGGTTGCTCTGGGATCTCTAATATGCCACTGTTCTCTGGACTCTGCAGTTCAGGGAAGTCCAACCTGGTAAATTCAAACTCAGGTCTGGAGGTGGATCCGCTCTTCTCAGTGATTCTGGACTTCCTGTCTGTTCGTTTATGACAGACGTCTGTAACTGTAAAATGGAAACAGGTGGAAGAATTTACAGATCACTTGGTCTGTCCTCAAGCTTAAACTGTACAGTAGGAAGTCTCTTGCTATTTATGCAACAACAGGTTGTTGTCCAAACCCCCTAACTGTGGCTAGAGTGGTCACTCTTCTGTGTAACAGTGTGAAACATGAATGACCAGAAGGATCAATCACTCTGGTGGGGCTACCACGCAGAAAACCAAACGCACTGTAAACCTGAGGGGTAGTTCTAAAGTGTATGAAGCACCTACCCAACTTCACGATGCAGCTGGACACTGTAATTATTCTTAATAGACATTTTAAAGTTCTGCAAATTTAAAGGTACTCTAATACATTTAATAAAATGTCCATATTTTGTCAGCTGAACAAACTGGAGGAAGGCAAGTAGAGGTGACCTTATAAACTTTTCCCCATCTTTCTCCTTTAAACGCAAATGACGACGACGCAGGTTGCCACATCATAAAGCCCTTGTATTTAATTATAAAGCCAGAGTTATTACAATTAACTAGCAAACATTCCTTTTACATTTCCGTGTAGCAGATGATTTATGAGTGAAGTCAATGAAAAAAGAAAACTGTATATACCGAGTAATGCAAACTATACATGTAAATAAAATGGCGGACCATTCACAGTAAGCCTGCTGTTAAAAGGTTTTAAGTTCTTACATAAATAAGTGAGGCCTGTGATCAAACTGCACTAACGAACAACCAACAGGGAAAAGAAAACCAGACACCGTGTAGAATCACCAACTCTTCGCCACAGGCTGCAACAGTAGTTTTTAAGCCTTGAGCAGACGTGACTTCTGACACGGATAAAAACAGTGTCCTCTGAATAACTATAACGCCCCAGGTTTGGTATTGTTTAGGATGGGATTTAAACCACTATCAAATTCTCCCTTCTATTAAAAGAGCCCCAAGAGAATACCAGAAGTTATTTCAGGAATGAACATGATTAAATATAGTACAAACGAGTGTGTGTGTGTGTGTGTGTGTGTGTGTGTGTGTGTGTGTGTGTGTGTGTGTGTGTGTAAAGATAGATTAGCTTTTATTTAAGGGCATGATTTGAAAGCTGTGGCCACCACCTACTTGCTATGTAACCCTAACAAGCCCTTCATGAGTACATAAGGTTATACCACCTTAAGGGGACATCACGGAGCCCACAACACAACAGGAGACAAGCCCCCAGCACGGCACAGGAGGTGTGAGGAGCTGACATCTGTGGACCTCCAGATCACCCTGCTCAGAGCAGCCACTACGAGCAAGCCTCCAGAGATGGCCTGTGCAGAGAAGTGTGACTTCTCTACGGTGGATGGCTTAGGTTAACACAACACTCTCGTTCTGTCAGATACTCGGGAGTTTGTAGAGTTTGCTCTTTTTTTTTTTTACCTGATTTCAAGCTATTTTCTGCATGAACGGATAGATGGGAACCTTTAGCTGATTTTATATCAGATGATATAGTTCCATCAGCCCTTTTATTGTCAAACTTTGGCTCACTGTATGTTTTTTTCTGCAGGAAAGATTAAAAATAACGTGAAATAAGAAAACCACCACTAGGGAAAAAAGATTTTAAATTGCAAATTCACAAGTATTCACAATACAACCGTTTTTTAAAAAGTTAGACAAAATCAAATCTTAAAAATCCACAAAAAGGTAAGCGATGCTTAAATAAAAAGCATGAATTTACCAATTCTTTCACATCGTAAACATTTAAGCGATCAACCTGCAGACAGAACAAACCCCGCAGCACACGCTCACCTTAAGCAGACCTTTAGCTTCTTGAGGGAGAGGGCACATGCGCTCACTTTGGGGCGTAACCGTCTGGAAACCTTCGTAACAACCAGGCTGGCTGTACTCATACTGGGAGCCAGGCACTGAACAAACATTTTGTGTAGACTCAAAGGTATAAGGAGAATAGGTGAATGGATGAATAGTTACATCAGAAGATAAATACTGCGGTGGAAAAGTTGAAGCTCCAAAGGCCGTATCTTCTGCATTTGTTTTCTGCCTAAATAAAAAGTGGAAATTTCAGTTGGAGATTTCACACCATAAACCAAGCAGCTTAATACTTTGTAAAAATCTAGTTTAAATGTTTTAATATTTCTGAGGTCATTCATCCTAGCAATGAAATATCCTTAATTAAAAGCCAAATGAAAGCATTTCTTTCTTAACACGCACAGGAAGATGCTAACCTATTCGTGTTTTTTCAGGAATGAGCCAGGAATCCCGTGAGGACTGTACTCTGATAAACAGCAGTACACCCAGAAGATGCTCCAGCAACCCTTGACTCTCATCGGTCAGATACTTGGGAAAGCCTCTTTCGGCTCTCCTGGACAAAATGGCCATAAAGACTGCATTATCTGCTTTTACAGAGCCCACAGCTACCCAGTCCAACCCCCACCCAACCACCTGCAGGGCCTGTCTCCCCCAGGCCTCCAGATTCCTACAGATGGTCCTCTCCAGCCCCTGCTCTGCCCAACCCCACCACATCCTATGCTTTGCTGGCTGTCAGGACCAGAGTGGCAAAGGGGTGCTGTGCAGCACAGTGGTCCAAGACCCGCACATCTCACTGATGAAACAGACCTCATCTCTGATAACTGTTACTGGCATCAATTTGTTCAAGCCACTAGACAAAACCAAAATTAACACTGGTTTTGTTTTTTAGCTAATTTGGTATACTGCTAGAGGTTTCAATCATTTCCCAACGTAAGCTGATGTTGTTTGGTGCTGTTGAGTTGGTTCCGACTCACAGCAATCCTATGTACTACAGAACGAAACACGGCCCAGTCCTGCGCCATCCTCACAATTGTTGCTATGCTTGAGCCCATTGTTGCAGCCACTATGTCAATCCATCTCGTTTAGGGTCTTCCTTATTTTCGCTGACCCTCTACCAAGCATGATGTCCTTCTCCAGGGACTGATCCCTCCTGACAACATGTCCAAAGTACATAAAACATAGTCTCGCCATCTTTGCTTGTAAGGAGCATCCTGGTCATACTTCTTCCAAGACGGATTTGTTCGTTCTTCTGGCAGTCCACGGTATGTTCCATATTCTGCGCCAACACCACAATTCAGAGGTGTCAATTCTTCTTCGGTCTTCCTTATTCGTTGTCCAGCTTTTACATGCATATGATGCGACTGAAAATACCATGGCTTGGGTCAGGCACACCTTAGTCTTCAAGGTGACATCTTTGCTTTTCAACACTTTAAAGACGTCTTTTCCAGCAGATTTGCCCAACGCAATATGCTGATTTCTCGACTGCTGCTTCCATGGGTGTTGACTGTGGATGCACGTACAATGAAATCCTTGACAACTTCAATCTTTTCTCCATTTATGATGATGTCACTTACTGGTCCAGTTGTGAGATTTTGTCCTTTAGGTTGAGGTGTAATCCACTCTGAAGGCTGTGGTCTTGGATCTTCATCAGTCAGTGCTTCAAGTCCTCTTCACTTTCAGCAAGCAAGGTTGTGTCATCTGCATAATGCATGCACATTGTTAATGAGTGTTCCTCCAATCCTGATGCTGTGTTCTTCTTCATATATTCCACCTTCTCTTATTATTTGCTCAGCATACAGACTGAATAGGTATGGCGAAAGGATACAACCCTGACGCTCACCTTTCCTGACTTTAAACTACGCAGTATCCCCTTGTTCTGTCCAAACAACTGCCTCTTGATCCACACAGGTTTCTCATAAGCACAACTAAGTGTTCTGGAATTCCCATTCTTATCAATTTTATCCATAATTTGTTATGATCCACACAGTTGAATGCCTTCGCATAGTCAATAAAACACACGTAAACATCTTTCTGGTATTCTCTGCTTTCAGCCAGGATCCATCTGACATCAGCAATGATATCCCTGGTTCCATGTCCTCTTCTTAATCTGGCCTGAATTTCTGGCAGTTCCCTGTTGATATACTGCTGCAGCCACTTTTGAATGATCTTCAGCAAAATTTTACTTGTGTGGGATATTAATGATATTGTTCGATAATCTCCTCATTCGGTTGGATCACCATTCTTGGGAAGAGGCATAAATACGGATCTCTTCCAGTCAGTTGGCCAGGTAGCTGTCTTCCAAACTTCTTGGCATAGATGAGTGAGCACCTCCAGTGCTACACTGCTTTGTTGAAACATCTCAATTGATATTCTGTCAATTCCTGGAGCCTTGTTTTTTGCCAATACCTTCAGTGCAGCTTGGACTTCTTCCTTCAGTACCACTGGTTCTTGATCATATGCTACCTATTGAAATGGGTGAACGTCGACCAATTATTTTTAGTATAATGACTCTGTGTATTACTTCCATCTTCTTTTGATGCTTTCTGTCATTTAATGTTTTCCCCCTAGAATCCTTCACTACTGCAACTCGAGGCTTGAATTTTTTCTTCAGTTCCTTCAGCTTGAGAAATGCTGAGCGTCTTTTTCTCTTTTGGTTTATCTCCAGCTCTCCGCACATATCACTGTAATACTTTACTTTGTCTTCTCGAGCTGCCCTTTGAAATCTTTGGTTCAGCTCTTCTATTTCATCATTTCTTCCTTTTGCTTTAGCTACTCGACGTTCAAGAGCAAGTTTCAGAGTCTCTTCTGCATCCATTTTGGTCTTTTCTTTCTTTTCTGTCTTTTTAATGATCTCTTGCTTTCTTCACGTATGATGTCCTTCCACAACGCATCTGGTCTTCGGTCATAGTGTTCAACGCATCAAATCTACTCTTGAGATGGTCTCCGAATTCAGGTGGGATATAGTCAAGGTCATACTTTTGCTCTCGTGGAACTGTTCTAATTTTCTTCAGCTTCAACTGGAACTTGCATATGAGCAACTGATGGTCTATTCCACAGTCGGCCCCTGGCCTTGTTCTGACTGATGATATTGAGCTTTTCCATAGTCTCTTTCCACATATGTAGTTGATTTGATTCCTGTGTATTCCATCTGGCAAGGGTGATGTGTATAGTCGCGATTTATGTTCGTGAGAAAAGGTATTTGCAGTGAAGAAGTTGCTGGTCTTGCAAAATTCTATCATGCGATCTCTGGCATTGTTTCTATTACCAAGGCCATATTTTCCAACTACCGATCCTTCTTCATTGTTTCCAACTTTTGCATTCCAATCACCAGTAATTATCAATGCACCCTGACTGCATGTTTGATCAATTTCAGACTGGAGAAGCTGGTAAAAATCTCCAATTTCTTCATCTTTGGCATTAGTGGTTGGTGCGTAAATTTGAATAGTTATATCAACTGGCCTTCCTTGTAGGCGTATGGATATTATCCTATAACTGACAGCATTGTACTTCAGGATAGATCTTGAAATGTTCTTTTTGACGACGAATGCAATGCCACTCCTCTTCAAGCTGTCATTCCTGGCATAGTAGACCATATGATTGTCCAATTCAAAATGGCCAATACCACTCCATTTCAGCTCATTAATGCCTAGGATATCGATGTTTATGCGTTCCATTTCATTTCGATGATTTCCAATTTTCCTAGATTCATACTTCGTACATTCCATGTTCCAGGTATTAATGGATGTTTGCAGCTGTTTCTTCTCATTTTGAGTCATGCCACATCAGCAAATGAAGGTCCTGAAAGGTCGACTCCATCCACGTCACTAAGATTGACTCTACTTTGAGGAGGCAGCTCTTCCCCAGTTGTCTTTTGAGTGCCTTCCAACCTGGGGGGCTCATCTTTTGGCACTATATCAGATAATGTTCCGCTGCTATTCATAAGGTTTTCACTGGCTAACTCTTTTCAGAAGTAGGCTGCTAAGTCCTCCTTCCTAGTTTATCTTAGTCTGGAAGCTCAGCTGAAACCTGTCTGTCATGGGTGACCCTACTGGTATCTGAATACCAGTGGCATACCTTCCAGTATCACAGCAACACGCAAGCCCCCACAGTACGACAAACTGACAATGTAAGCTGATACAGGGACAAAATGCCCACTGATGGAGTTAAAACAGTTACAAAAAAGCACAATCTTTTCATTCTTGTAAGTGAAATCTCCCAAAATCAGCACCAGGAGATGCTTCTGTGAATTTCCAGAGCTGAAAATTTTCTTGTAACAAACCAATGAAATATCAAAGTGCACTGGTACACTGAAAGGCAGGAGAATCCAAATCTAGCCATGAAACCTCCTGTATGACCTTCAAGCTGTTTTACTATAAAGAGATATTGTTATAAGAACACACTACTAGAAACCATATTTCTAATCTTCTGCAAGAGCGACTACGATAAGAAAGGCAGTCTCCTTCTATAGGCTCCATCCCTAACAAATTAACAGAATGTTTACGTTAGCTTTCCCTTCTGCTCAGTACTTAATTAAATGTTGCCTTGTACCAGCACAGTCAATTAACTCTACGTATTGTGGACTAAGTGTAGATCTTGTAAGGTCCGTTATTTACAGATAATTAATTCTACCAATGAAATATTCTTAATTAAAAGCCAAACAAGTGTTTTTTACTGACTTTTTCTGTCCCCACAGAACACACAGCCTCATGCCATTCATACAGTGCCCTGAAAACTCATTCTTCGTACAGAAGAGAGAAAAAGTGAAAAGCTTTGTCCGCTCCCTAGATGCTTGTGGGGATCCCTCTTTTATCTGATGTTTGGAAAATCCAATGGGAGGCAGGTTTCAGGTGAAGGTGAATAAGCTATTCTTCGTAAGGGAAGAAGGGTGGGGAAGACGAGCTGATAGCAAACACAGTTAAAAAACGAATATTCCATGTTCAAAAAATGGACAAAGAAACAGACAAATGGAATTTAGTAGCTAAAAAAGAAAGGAGGCGCAGGGTTCAGAGGCGGTTTGGAAGGCTGTTTTTAGGAAATTTTCATCTGTGAATCAGGAGACCTTGGTTTGGGCTCCAGTTCTATCTAGCTGTCAACTTTGGACAACTACTCATGTATCCTTGGGTTTCTGTTCCCTCATGGGTTCTTCTTCTTCTGGAAAGCTGATATTTTTCCTTTCCAGGAAAATAGAAACACGCAATAGAAAATATAAAACAAACAACCAACAGCAGTGTTGGGGCATCAACTGGCTTGTCTGGGAAATTCCAATAGCCATGAATATCCCAGATGAAGCCCACAGCAACATACCTTCTTCACGGTCACCTTCTCAGACTACCTCCCCATCTGCTATTCCGAGTTCACTTCCTAATGTGACCCTTCCCTGTAGATTTGTGCAATGCCCACCGATCTCTCAACTGCTCCACTTTCCCTGCTCCTTTACTAAAGGCCTCCAGGACCCCGATGACCACCTTCTTGCCAAACTTAACAGCCTCTTCTTCATGACACTGGCTGGCTCTGCCTCTCCAATCGCGTTGCTTGAAAAGCTCCACCAGCTGGGATGCTCGGCTCCTGTACTCTCCCAGCCTCACCCACTTTCCCATGGTGTCGCCCTGTCTGCAGCCTCCCTATCTCAATATCAGACTCATCCCGAGTCTGAACCTCTCACCTTGATGCTCAAGACTCACATATATACTTTCAATCCATCACCTTCACCAACTCCAGGCCTCCAACTCCAACTCACAGGCCATTTCCATTTAACATTTCGTGTTTTCCCAACGCAGCATATATAAACCTAAAACTTACATCTAGTCCCCCCATCAGCTCCACTTCCAACTGCTGTTTTCATGAATGACCCTGCCATTCCTCCCATGTATTAGCTTGGAGACCTATTTAACAATCACCCACCAAAACCCACATCAACAGTGATGGAGACCTTTCAGTATTTCTTTGACCAGATCTCTACTTCCAGTGCATAGAATCTAGTCAAAGGCTTCAAACCCCCTCCCCTTAAAAATCCAACCGGAATCCAGGATTAATTATTAGGACCCTATTCAAATACCAGCAGAAGTTCCCTATTTCCTACCCCAGCAAACCAGAGCTTTTCTGCTGCACTCACTATAGCCTTTCCATCTGGTAATGGCTTCACCCAGTTACCCCATTCCTCCTTTCACAGAAGCATCGTGCACCTTGCCCCTTCGGTCAGGCCAGTGCCACCTGAGACACAGCCTCTCTTTCACCCACCCAGCTGACTGGAACCATGGACGCAAAGCTCTACCCTGTGCTGCTCTGTACTGCTAGGCCACATGCTAGATCTTCTCATGGTTGGGAGGTTTTCATTTGAAGGCATTTATTGGTGCTTTCTGAAATTGCCACATAATATTAAAAGATGCTGAAAATGCTCAACCAACTCTTGCCAAACACAACAGTATTTTTGGGAAATATGATTAGGTTCGAGTCAGAAGAACCGAATGCTAACTCTTGGTACTTGAATGGCTTTGGAAAAAAGCTTCTAATCTGTGAAAAAATCAGAATTACACCCCCTTGCCAACCTCACAGATTGTGACAAAGATGAAAGGAGTGAAAGAATATAATAATAAACACGATGTACACATCATTATAGCATGTGTTACACATGACTTGTCACCCAGAGCGAACTGTGACTATCAAAGTCATCACCCTTGGACATCACTTGAAACGGAGAACTTATATTGTTTGCACAGCCTTCTATTTATAGTTTGTTCATTATACCAGTCAGTAATCAATATTTTCCAAACGTGGTAAATTCTGTATCCGAATACCTCTACTAGTATTTCCTAGTCTTGTCCTGTAACATAAACCTGGGGGAGACTGGTACATTTTCTTTTGTCTTCATCAGCTCAAGTCTATTTAATTAAGGCTGACAAAAAGATGAGTTCAGCCCATGAGATAACCATTTCTCTCCTTAACATGTAGTGCTTTTCATAAAGAAACCTTTCAATAATTAATTCTGAGTGAATATGTGAAACATTTGAGTGCACTGTTTAGGGTACTGGGGGTAGACGGAGTCGGTAAAAGGCTGCCACATTTCCTTGAAGTGAAGGGAAGAGGACATACATAGGTGACTTAGGTTGCTAGGGAGTGGAACAGACCCTGGGTGGCACAAAGAGTTTACGTTCGACTAACCAAAAGGCTGACGGTTCAAACCTACCCAGTGGGGCAGCAGAAGAAAGGCCTGGTGATCTGCATCCATAAAGATCACTGCCAAGAAAACCCTATGGAACACAGTTCTACTCTGACACACGTGGGGTCAGAGGCATAGTAACGAGCGCCCAGGAACAATCTCTAAGTTATGGCTCCCCCACCCATTTCATGATGAATAGACATTGATAGCAGTGATAGGTGATGCGTGAACAGAAACTTCTTCCTGCTCCTGTCCAGCTGCCTCAGCCAGGCGCCTTTTGTATTTGTGGTGCCTCGACTGGTGCCCCTTGGGGTTGTGCCCAGGGCAAGTACCCTGCTCTGTGCTCCTCCCTCCCCGGCGCCTCTGCACGGGGTAGCTATGACCCTCCACAGGCAACTGGGTGGTTTTATCTTTGTTTTGTTTTTGTCAGGCAGGACTACTGTGAGCCTATCTTTTTCCTGGTGATGATCACATGAAGTGTAAACTACTTTCAGTCATACCATGCAGGCAAACACACGAAAAAGGAAACAAGTTTAAACCATATCCAAGGAATGTAAAGCACAAGGATTCTTACATAAGCACTAAAGCTGATGCTGACCTTACAAACAAATCTACACAATTAAGTAAATGCTTAACAATTATTTTTCCAAATTCAAGTAACAGCAGAATGAATTTTTAGAAAGAAAAATCAAATTGAAAGGAAAACATAAGCCTTCAACTCAAATTTAGAATTTAAAATCAAAATCTGTAAAATCCATCTCCGTAAACATATATAAAGCAACTGGTTGAAAGTGAAGCCCAGCAATTTCCAAAGAATGCACCACACAAAAAGGAGGCCATGGTTGCTATCTCTGAGCAGTCCTCTTGCAAGAGTTTTAAATGTTAAACCTTGAAAATGAAAAGCATGTTTATTTCTTTACTTTGCTCCTTCCTTTGCCGTTTCCTCTGTTAGAGACAATATATGTTTCTAAACTTTACGCACAAATGAACCCTAAAACTACATTTACTACTAACAAACACAATGCAGTCTAGCATCTTGTTTGCCCAAAATAACAGTGCGTATGGTGGGATCAAAAGAGAAAAATCACTGACATCTTATTATGATTTTAAGGTTTTTCTTACCCACGAAACCAAATATTAACTGTAAAAAAATTTCTGACCCAAAATCCTGCCATACGCTTTTTTTTTTTTTTTTACCCAAAGTTGCTTATCTTTTCTTCCCTGTTCAAACCCAGGCTTAAAACAAAAATCGAAACAAAACAAAAAACCCAACTGCTTCAAGTCAGTTCCTCAACTCTGACTTGGGCTTACTTAGATTTCAAAAGGTAGCACAGGTGCAGGTGGTCGGAGGGCCAGAAACCACCTTGTGACCTGTTGGTCTCAATAAAACAGGGAGGGGAAGGTGAAATCAATCATGTTAAGATTAGCCAACAGCTGATCTCCTATTCTTCTCCCTTCTCTTCTCTTTATAGTTTCATTGTACCTAGCCTACTTTCAGACATTTGCTGTTTTTTGGAATCAGAATGGTCCCCCTATAAAAAAAACCCTGTTGTTGTGGAGTCAGTTCCAACTCATAGCGATCCTATGCGACAAAGTAGAACTGCCCCACAGGGTTTCCAAGGAGCGCCTGGTGGATTTGAACTGCCAACTCTTTGGCTATACGCATAAAGAAAACTGCTCAGAATAAACCTTATGTTTCAAACCTTTGAATTTTGATATTTTTAACAGAGGAAAAAAAGGAGAGCATGGTTTAGGTGCATAATAGAGTGAAGCTGAGTTACTGCCTCAGACTCCTCTTGGCTGAGGAGCATAGTCTTCAGCCACTCTGCAGAATTTTAAAAGTATGTTAGCTGCAGCATATTTGGCTGCCTGATCACCCTCAAAAGCCAAGAAATAAAAGTCCCCTAAGGCATGATATTTAGAAAGATACATACTCAGTCACTGGCAGTTCCTGAACAAATGGATAGTATGTGGCTGCGCAGCCAGGGAAGACACGTGCTTCTGAGGACTCTGACCACGCCACGTTTAGCCCAGCAAATCTGGGAACAAACGGTTTGACATCTGCTGATAACTTGATGCCCTGAAGAAAAAAAAGGGGGTTTTGGCTACATACATTCTGAGATCAACCAAAAGCAAACAAACAAACAAACAAAAGACCCAAAGAGAGGGACTCCATTCTACCAGCCCCAGAAATAACTAATCCAGAGTTGGTGTTCAAACACTTATGCCTATCAAAGAAAACAATGTTTGCTAACAATTTCTCCCCAATGCTTTTTTATTAGAAAAAATAGGTTTCAAAGTGTTAAAAGTAAAAAAAAACAAGGACAACAAATTAAAGTAGGAATAAAATTCAACCCAGATTACATAGTTAAAACCACACTGACAACGTTTCCTTAGTCTTAAACTGTGAATAATGGTATTTTTACCTCTCTCAGCTTTGGTTAGGGATAACCGAGAATTGTATAACTGTTGCAAATATACGCGTGGAATGCTTAATTCAGCACTCAAAATACATTGCAAAAGCTTATTTGCATGAAATTTCTCAGGTCATACAAAACGTCTGATTTTTACTGAGACACTAAGAGTCTTGTTTTGTTGAAAAGCAAAAATACGCTTTGCTGGAAAATCATCCTGCCGCCATGCGCCACTGGAATCTAAACTAAAAATTTGTTAATTTTTTTTTAGTTTTTGATATATTAAGAGATTTACTTGTACCAAGAATTTCAGAAACATGATTTTTAATTAAAGCTTAAAACTAATTCATGCGATTGCCTGACCTTTACCCAGGCTATTGCTGAGTATGCAGAGCTGAAACTTTTAACGTTTTTAAACACCTAAGGTGTTTTAAAAATAAACTACCTCTTCCCAAAAGTGCGATAAACTTGCACCATTTCACATGCCCTTACGAAATCCTCGCGATGTGGGAAGGCGGCAGGCAGTCACGTGTATCTGCCATCACTAGAGTAAACGTACTTCTAAACGCTGGGAGGTGTTTGCGACCGCCACCCCATTAGACTGGCGGCTGCCGGTCAGTCACGCTTACGCACTGGCGCCGTCATCAGCCTCTCGCCCACGCCCACCGGCGACCCCGGCGTGAAGACGCGTCGCAGGGCTCTTGCAGACCCGTTACCGCCAGACGAAGACTCAGGGTGCTCCCGCCCCTTCGTCGGCCCGCGGCCGGTCAACCCAGGCGCCGGGCGGAGCTGAGGTCTCGGAAAGAGTGACCATCACCCCGAGGGACGCGTGGAAGGGGAGCCGCGGACTTCTCGCCACTCTCCGCCCATCCTCAGGGGGCTTGGGTAAAACCCTGGCTGCCCTCACCTCGCCTCCGGGCTCCCGTGGCCGCTCCGACGTCATGGCCAGCGGCTCGGAGGAGGCCCCACCGGGAGAGGCCAGCAGCCGGACAGACGGCTGGTGGGACAGGCGACCCGGCGTTTCTTCCCCCTGCCCTTCCGCCTTTGGAGGGGACGCCAGGAAGTGCGTCACAGAAACGCGACTGGGCTCGTCCCTCCTCCCGGCAGGAAGTGCGTGTTGTGGTAGTGGAACAGCTCCACGAGGTACCTGTTTGTGTCCCCTGCCTTGGCTGGGTCTGAAAATATGGTGCCGCGCGCTGGGCAGTGGTCGGGAGTGCGGCGTCCGGTATCCTGCCGCTGTCCCGTCGACCTTTCTAGTAGCCCTTTGGGTTTGCATCCTCTGCACTCGTAAGAAGAACCTAGTATCTGCCCTGAAGTGTTGGATTATATTAGGAGGAACAAGCAGACTCAGCAGTAGTTAAACAGTATTTGGGTCAGGCAGGCCTGAAGGCTTTACTCATGTCTGTTTGCAGGTTCTGGCTTAAGAGAAAATGGACGGGAGGGCTCCTTGGATGGGTTGAGCCGTTCCTTGAAGAGGAGGCAAGAGGTTTCCTAACCAAAGCGCCTATGCAGAGCCCAGGAGGCTAACTACTTTGCACCCCACCCCCACCACACACCGTGCTGCATTTTCTGAAGGTGGTGGCTTCTGGTAATTGGATGCCCTGTAAAAGTTTTTACAGACCTGGGAAACCAAGGCTAAGATTATCGGCATCCTAAACTTCCAGGGATCCCTAGGTGGTGCAAATGGTTACCGTGCTCAGCTGCTAACTGAAATGTTAGTGGTTTGAGTCCACCCAGACGGAAACGAAAAAAAAACCCAAACGCACTGCCTCTGGAGTCAGTTCCAATTCTTAGTGACCTTTGGAAACCCATGGGGTTTCCAAAACTAAATCTTTATGGAAGCCAACTGCCACATCTTTATCCTGCAGAATGGCTTGTGGGTTCGGATAACCGACCTTTCGGTTAGCAGCTGAGCGCTTTAACCACTGTGCGCCAGGGCTCCTCGTCCACCCAGTGTCTTGAAAGAAAGGCCTGGTGGTCTACTTCTGAAAAATCAACCACTGAAAACCCTGTGGAGCAGAGTTCTGCTCTAACACACATGGGGTTGCTATGAGTTGGAATCAACACCAGAGCAACTGGTTTATTCAGTTGGTTGCATTTCCAGAAACTTGAAGCAAAGTTTGGAGATAACCACAGAATAGAATTTCAAATTGCTCAGTTTCTTTCAACAACTATTGAATATAAAAATTATGCTAGGGTAAGCTAGAGGAAAAGATAGGAAAGTATGATTTCTGTGGGTAAAAAAAAAAGTTATCGCAAGTTTTATATGAGGGTAGAATGCCTTAAGGACTATAAGAAATGTCCCCAGAACATGGAGGTTGACAAGATTCACTATTTAGGGGAGGTACAGGGAAAGGCTGTACAGTGGATTTCAATAGAGAGCAGGGGGAGGCCAGAGCAGAGTTGGAGAGGGTGAACAGCTTGCTCAGAGGCTTTGAGGAAGGTACAGGGTAGATTTAAGGGATGAAGTGATTTGCCTGGAATATAGGTAAGGAGCAGGGATTTAATTAGGTTAAAAATCTTAGTCTGGAGGCAAAGCGTAGAAGGGTTTCCGCCCTCCGCTGCAAATAAGATTTGGACTAAAGGGTCTCACCATTATCTGTACTAAAAACTTGCAGGAAATGCAGACAGCAGGCTTCTGTCCAGGGTGGTCCCCTAGGTTTACCAAACATGCGAGGCACCCTTGCTTTACCAGGGGAGAGTGAAGTCTTTAGGGTCCGGCAGGAATCTGTGCTGTCACCTTTCTCAATCCCCAGGTGTTGGGATTCCTCTGGCTTAGCCTAGAGCATAGTTTGTTGTTGTGTGCCGTGGAGTTGATTCCTACTCATACCTACCCTACAGGGCAAAGTACAACTGCCTCATAGGGTTTTTTAGGCTGTAATGTTTACGGAAACCAATTGCCACATCTTTCTACCAGGGAGTGGCTGGTGGGTTGGAACTGCTGACTTTCCGTTAAGCCATGCGCTTAACCTCCGCGCTACCAGGGCTGCTTTCCAATGGATTATTACTCTGGCCCTCTCTAGAGAAGTCCATGACCCTTCCTAGGCTGCTGCTCTCACCACCTTCAGTATGTAATTGTGACCACTATGTGTAAAGCACCCTGCTAAAGACAGGGACATAAAAGGGACCAAGCCTGGAGGTCTTACGCTTAATGGCTGCTCATTTAGAACGTTTCTCCATCAGTGCAATCAGTTAAGATAAATTGCCTGTTTGCACTTAACTCAAGTGGTTAAAAAGGCAATTCCAGAGATGTTTTCAAGCAGAGGTAAAGTACAGATGGCATGGAAGGTGTTTACAATGCTTTTGAACTTTTAAAAATGCTGTGATATTTTATCAAACATTACACCCACTTAGCAAACGAATAAAAGGATAAAAAAGGTTGGTTTCCCTCAAGCCACTAAATTAGTGGCATTCTTAGCTAAAAGGAAAACAGTCTAGATAGTATTAAGTTACTAAGTTGGGGTTCTTTCCTATTCAAGGGAAATCTTAGATAATTCTCTGGCAATTGGACTAGAGTGAGCTATGAAATCTAATCTGGCCCTTTTAAAGATCCTTGGCTCTTAAGTTTCTTCAAAGTGAATTAAATAAATGGGGTCATAACAATCAGCCCCTAGTCAAAATGTGAGCTTAGCCTCTCATAGACATTAAGTACTCTGTGGAGCCCTGAGCAATATGAGAACCAGTGACCTGGGCCAGGAAGAAACCAAATAACTTACTTCATGGCAATGTCAATGAGAACCAATTAACTAGTACAAAAACAATCCATTAGACATGTTTTTTTCATGGCTCCTCTCCATATAAGCACTAGGTATGTAAACACCACCCATCACTACTGTGTGCAGGCTGCTACTCCGGATACTCAGTATGTCGTTGTCCATCAGAGGAATCCTGACATCGACCACTGTGAGTTCCTTCATTTACCATTTTATTTTTTTCAAGTTTATTTTCTCAAGTCTAAAACTGTAAAACCAAGATTACTGAACAATATTAATAGCCACAAATTAACCTTAAGACAATGTAACTCAGTAACTTCCAACAGTGATAAATGCAACACAGAAACTTTATTAAACAAAACGTTTAACAGGTAAAAGTCGAACAGGCACTTACATTAAGAGAATAACTGACTAGAAGAATTTTTATCTTAAACACCATGTAGTAACCTACTTGCAGTTGCATTTAACTGAGCGCTGTTGCTGTGAAGAATACAGCTCATGCACAGGTATGGATGAATGATTTGTACATTTTTCAAGTATTCACTGAATACTACCATATATACACATATACATTAAATTTGAAAAAGATTTAATTGGTGATCCCTAGGTACTTCTCATTTTTGTTGATCTTTTGGAAGAGGTCGTCTAAAGAGAAGAATATGTGGTTCTGTGGAAAGAAATGTATCATTTTAATATGGTTAATTTCATTCATTCAACAAAAATTCAAAGAAATCTCAAATGAACCAAAGTAAAATAATTAAATCTATGTCTGTGAATTTTGCTTCAAAGTCACTGTCAGCAATAACAAAAAGAAAACCTGACGCTGAGAATATTTCCCCAGTGTTTTAGCTTCACTGACCTTGGAGAAAAAGCAAAAAGTATATACAAAAGCTTCTCTGGGGAGAATGATTTGTACCTTTAGAATGTCAACTCCAATAAAATGAGAGAGAAAACTCTTTATTGGGAGAAGATAACTTACTCAGATCAGCTACTTATTAACCTATGCTGGAAAGCAACTGTGAGTATCACACCAATGTACATCAAAAACCACACACACACTGGTGGCCATCCCACAGATTTTGTTCAGTAGATTGGGCCCGGGAATTCTTCAGTTTGCTTTTGTATTTTCTGGAGAAAAATCTTTTGAACTAATATGATCATGTGTTCTGATCCCAAGAAAGCTACCAGTCTTTAACAAGAGTTTTAGAAAGCAAGATAGCTTCAGTTCTACCTAATTCAACTTCTGCGGTGTGCCTTCATGTTCTGTTCAAAACATTGGGGACCCTTTCAGTCAGATTTGTTGAAATCCAAAAGCAGGATGTAGCCCCTCAAAATTTTAGTCTAGTTTAAAGCAGTTCAAACCCACCCAGCAGCAATCTGCTCCCATAAGATTACAGCCTAGAAAATCCTGTGGGGCAGTTCTGCTGTCACACGGAGACATCACTGAGTCAGATTTGTAGTAGGTATGGCACATGTGTACCTATAATTTCAATACCTTAAAGAGAAAGAAACAAACTGTCCAAACCTAGGAGTTACAGTTAAGAGTTTGACATGCAATCTAAGTCTAACTCAGAATTGTCAGTCAATGTTATTTTTCTTTATCTCTTTGGCAGTATTGCTGTTAGGTGCCGTTGAGTCGGTTCTGACTCATAGCGATCCTATGCTGTGCTGTACCCTACATACAACAGAACGAAACACTGCCTCATCCTGTGCCATCCTCACAATTGTTACGTTTGAGCCCATTTTTGCAGCCAGTGTCAATCCATTTCCTAGCAAAAACAGAGGCCAAAGGAGAAGGCAGATCACTTCCAACTGCATCATTTTCTATCTACTTGGTCTTAAAATTCTCAGTTTTAAGAGGGACGCCAACATTCTAGATATACTTATGACAAAATGTTTTAAAATACTATTATTTTAACAACCACAACTATTACTATGTTAAGTTATGCTTCACTTAACTGCAGAAACTTACCTGGCTCATGAATCATGTAATGCACCCAGCCTAGACTCTGCTGAACACCAAGTCTCCTCCACTCCTCTTCAGACATTAGGTGGGTTTTGGGCACTTGTTTAGAAAGTTCTCTGGGTAACATGACATGCCTGTTAAAAGATGGGGAGAAAATAATCTAAAGGAAGCTACAGTTAATTTGGTTTCCTGTTACTCAACACTATAGATCTGTAGTAGGTATGGCACATGTGTACCTATAATTTCACACAGACCTTCAGTTTTCCAACAAATAAGTTAGTGACCTATTTCCAAAACTGTCTCTATTCAGTTTCCTAGGCAGGCATGCAGTAATTCCTCAATGTTAAGCCATCAAGAATTCTTTGTGCAATTCTTAAAAAACAAATGCACACTTCCCCTTTCTAGTATCTGAATACTGTAAGATCTTTAAAGTAAATTCCCAACCCCATTCCCAATAATGGTAATAGGTTTATAGGGAGCCATCTCTAACCATTGAACAAATTTTTCTGACACATAAAGGATATCTATGTTAAGTCAGCTGACTGAGGGGTGAGAAAGGTACAATCTGGGCCACACTTTCTGGCAAACAGAAAAACTACATCCATAACCCTTCTTCAGCACCCAGCTGTCCTCAAATATTGCCTGAGGCTGGTTAGGTAAGTATCAATGTAGTATTGCTTGCAGGGCAAAAACGAGCCTTGGAACAATTCTTTTATGTTACTAGATTGCCATGAGGCCACCAAGTCAAAGTATGTTTACTTGCTATCATGGTCCCTAAAACGTTCACCAGGTACAGCGAACTACACGGTGACACCCTTAGCAATACTTACCAGTCACCTCCCTCATTCTCAGAATGCTACTTTAACATCTACTTCTAGGGTTCTATAAGTAATCTGTTAACTTATCCTATTTCTATCTTCTACATTAATTGTTGATTAGTCTGAAAGAAAAACGTAATGCTAATTAGCTTTTGTACCTTTCTGTTGATTTTACAACAGTGTATGTGTGTAAACACACACCTAACAACATACTGTTCAGCAGGAAGTTACAAATTACCCTACCTTTTCCATAAAACATGGAAACAGGCTCTTGTTCATCAAGGTCTGATGATAAAGAAACAATTTTTAAATAGCGTTAAGCTCACATGGGAATTCTACCTATTTTACTGCATGTAGGTAAGTTTTCAAACTATCTCCATTTCTAAAAGTCAGCAGTACCATGGGCCTGTCATGGCAGGGGAAAGAATAAAGAAGGCCACCAGTTAAAGAGTAATGTTGGCATATTCCCCACCATGGGAGAATTAATATCTAGAACTTAAAAATTACAATCAAGTAACAAAGGATGTACTAAGATTAACACTACAAAATGTAGTTAGGCGGACACCCAGCAGACAGATAGTACTTACATCAGATGCTGTACCACCATACACAAAGCACCCTAAAAGCATGCCTTCAGTAGTTTTATCAGTATAGATTTTCCCATTAAAAGTATTACACTGTTTCATTCGGGTAAGTGGCTTGATCAATTAAAGACCAGTACCAAGTCAACTCTAATGTATACTGGATTACAATGAATTACTTCAGATATGTCAGGATTTTCTTCTGTACATTATTATATACCAACCACTTAGTAAATGAGGTCAAAATTTTGATAGCACAGTCTAGCTTATTTAGGAGTTTATCATCAATGATTCTGTTAGTATAGTAAAACTGCTGCTAATTAAATATCTTAATCTCATTTTCATATTCTGCTCTAAAAGAAACTTATACAACAGGCCCATAAATCCGTATCAAAAACATTCGGAACCAGATGTGTTTCAGAATTAAGCTTTTCAGATTTTAGAAAGCTATTACAGTACAATATTGTCTGTTACTGGCTATCCCCACTGGGCTCAGGGTAAACAACACATAACTGAACTTTAGTATTTCTAGTGAAATTAATGAATATCCATTCATACTTAAATGAGAAAAATATGGTTTTGCAGACAAATGTGTACCAAGTTTACAAAAACATGTCTTTTCAGAAGTTTTTGAGTTTCTGAATTGTGGACTTGTGCTAATGTCATCAATGTAACTTAATTATGCCAACACATTACAGGATTAAAACTGCGGTATTGTAGCTACCTATATAAAGATGATATAGTTGAAATTTTTCTGGATTTTTGAAAAACACATGAGATTTTTGCAGCTAGGAATAAGAAACAATGCAGGTATTACTAATATATAAAGCTGCCTAGAGAAACCCCCAGTTTGCCTGTGAAGGTAGACTTCATGATACTGGGGGCAGGAAGAAGGACCATCTACTCTTTTGTCCTTTCTTCCTCAAATAGCATTCCTGGAAATCTACCCTAAAGGGGCAGGCAGAAGCAAGGTCACTTTACTTGGCTGAGGACATTAGGACTTACTCCTCCTACATCTTGGTTGTTTCCCAGAATGCAACGTTCTAATTACTACCCAGAAAAACAATGGTTTCACTGGTCGTTGAAGCTGTGTCCCAAGTTAAGTCTCTTGCATACAATAAGGCTAGTAAATTTTGTTTAACCTCTTCCCTCCCCCCTCTAATCCAATTTGCTAAATATTTTTCACAGAAACTGCGTTCTAGTGCACGATTTCACGACTCAAAACTAAAAAATATTCGGCCAGTGTACACTAGCAAAAGAAAAAATGCCCACTTAAGTTCTCGATTTAGTCTTAAAACGAAGCCCCTTTAATAAAGCCCTCAAATTATGATCTGTGTTAATGCATAGAAGACTCATTTTCAAGTCCCAATCAGGGCCTAATATCTAGGCTAATTTTTCAGGTTTCCCCTCAAGGTAATTTTTAGTACCACTAACTTCAAAAGCAAGAAAAAATATTAAGGACATCTCCTGTGCTTCTCTGGTTATGTTAACAGATCAAAATTACCACTAAGTTATTAGAAGTTCCACTGCCCCAGTAGCGACTGGGAGAACGAAACAATGTTTTGCATGATTACCAAATAAGTCAAAACTTCTTACAACTACTGTGAATAATAAAGCATGGCCGCAAAGCAGAAGCCCGGAGTTTCCAGGCGGGTTTTCGGGTAATCATTGTGTTATTCAAGGGGTCGGAATTAGGACGCCACTTCCAGCACCGACCGGCGGAACTGTCGCCGAGGGCTCCGGGAGACGTTTCCGAAGTTGGCGCTGCCGGCTTTACGCCCGTTTTCATCTGTCCAAGTTTTGCTTAAGGGAGCAACTGACTGGACACGAAAAAGTGTTCCTATGGAAGAAAGCCCTTTATGCTTCAAACGGACGGAAACAGACCCAGTGCAGCAGGCAAACACCGCGCGCACCCAGTGCCCGCGACCTCGCGGAAAGGCCGCCCGCGCGCCCCACGTCTTCTCCTCGGCCTTCGGCCCCGCCTTGGCCCCGCCGCCCGCCTCGGAGCCTGCGCCCGCCACCCCCGGGGCTGCTCACCGGTACTCGTAATGCTCATCGAAGTATTTGTCCGAGTAGTATATCTGCTTGTGGGCCATCCTGCCGGCAGCGCAGCGGGGCGGGTAGGTCAGAAGCGCAGAGAACGGGAGCTCCACACCACACGTCCAAGCCAGAAGACAGCAACGACACAACTGAGGTCAACCGACCGCAGGCCGAACGATCCGGGTTTGAATCAGACAGCCCGACGCTGATTGGGCGGCAACGCCGACCAATCACCTTACACGTAAACTGCGGGAAGGCCGGGGCTGGCTCCTAGCCTATCGTTGCCTCGCCTCCGCAGGGTTTGTTTCCATGATTAACCAATGAGAGGGCTGTTGCTAAGTCACTGGAAGGAAGAACTAGAAGATTGGTATGGCGTGGGGGCGGGGAAAGGCCGTACGGGCAGGGGCGTGGCTAGCAAAGGGCGGTGTCCGGACGTTAAGTGGAGCAGAGCGCGTGCGCAGGGGTTTAGAATGTTCCAGCGCGACGGAGCCGTTGGGGCGGGCGGACCTGAGGGTGGCTCCGGGTATCGCGGAGTTTGGCGAGGTGGGGGCGGGGCCTGGGGCGGGGCCTGGGGCGGGGCCTGGGGCGGGGCCGGGTGTGAGCTGAAACTCAAGCCCGGAGTTCCGGACCGAGCCGGGCAGAGGTGTCCCGGCGCGTGGGGTTTCCAACGTGGGTTTATGCCGGGTTGTTTTTTTCTTAACCTTTAGCTCCGAGGTTTCATTTTAAAACAAAAGAAGACGGTCAGGGTGGGTTGTTGGTGCGGACATCTGTGGGGCGTGGTGCGTTTGCCGGCCGGCCCGGGACTCAAGCACATGCTCGTTGTCGGCGGAGGAAAGAGTGGTTGCCAGCCCCTGAGGGAGGTCGGAGGCCGGGAGCGTGGGGGGTATAGAGGGCCGGGGAGTGCTGTGGGTTCCGTGTTTATGACTCAGTCAGCCGCCACGTGGAGAGTAATTTTGAGAGGGTAGCGGAGAGAACAGCTCATTGCCCAAGTTCCCAGCAGGAGGACAATTGCCTGGACTAAGTAGGGCCCTCTGGCAAAGGAAATGGAGCAGAGGGAAGCTGTTGAGGAAATATTTGAGATACTGCTGATGAATTGGATAATTACTTGGCCGGGGAGAAGAACCTGGGTGGGTGGAGGTGCCACGTACCGAGATGGGAGAGACTGAGGAAGGGGTCTGGAGGCTAATGGACAACTCTTAAATGTGACAGGCCAGGGAGGCATGGAATAGGCAGCCAGAGGGAGCTCCCGCCTGGGCTGGAGATAAGCCCCAAATCTCAAAGGCCTATCAAACCTGAATGATTCCGACTCAGAGAGACCCTATACAACAGAGTAGAACTGACTCATAGGGTTTCTAAGGAGCGCCTGGATTTGAACTGCCAAGGTTTTGATTAGCAGCCGAGCTCTTAACCACTGTACCACCAAGACTCCACATATCTATGTATATGTCAAGAAATAGGGGCAGTGGTTAAGAGCTTCCGGACGACAATGGGTGGGCACCGGATATGTGTGTGTGTGTGTGTGTATACACACATATGTGTATACGTGTATCTCAGTATATGGAATGAACTAGGAGGTAGAACAGAAACACTGAACATGTTATTAGCCCAATTAACTAGGATGTCCCGCGAAACTATGACCCTAAACCTCCAAACCAAGGAGCCACATCCCATGAGGTGTTTGGTTGTACATAAGCAGTTTCAGCAGCTACCTTTTTTTGTAGTTGTGAATGTATCCCACAACTTTTGCCAATTCATGTTCTTATAGGTGTACAGCTTATGGACAGTACTTAACAATCGGCCGTGCAACGCTATTCTTAATGTGATTTTTCCATCACTGTAAACCAAAACACAGTACTCCATAAACAATAACCCCCCCACCCTTTACCCTCCCTCCTGCCCCTGGTAACTGCTATTTAACTTTGGTCTCTATACATTTGCCTTTTCTTATTCTTTTGTTGAGAATATATACAGCAAAACCTGACACCAAGAATTTCTGCATGCACAATTCAGTGACATTTTTTGAGTTGTGCAACCATTCTCACCTTTTCTGAGTTGTTCCTCCCCCATTAACATACACTCACTGCCTCCGAAGGTTCCTATCTAATCTTTTAAGTTGCTTTGTCACTTTGATCCCATATAACCCAGTGTCGTAGAGTCGATTGTGACTTACGGTGACCCTATAGGACAGAGTAGAACTTCTCCCTAGAGTTTCCAGGGAGTGCCTGGTGGATTCGAACTGCTGACCTTTTGGTTAGTAGCCATAGCACTTACCCAGGGTTTTCTGATCCCATATAGATAGTTCTTAAAAGAGCATAATGGTCAAAGCAGACATTCTTTACTAGCTAAGCTAGACTACTGTTTGGTTTTAAGAAGACTTCAAAGGACATTTTTGATTTAAGGTTTAAAGATTATATCAGGGCAATAGTTTCAGGGGTTCATCCACCCTCCATAGCTCCAGGCAGTATGGAGTCCGTGAGAATTTAAAATTCTATTCTGCATTTTCCCTTTTGATCCAGATTCTTTCATAGAATCTTTGATCAAAATGTTCAGTAGTGGCATCTGGGCACCATCCAGTTCTTCTGGTCTCATGGCAAAGGAGGCAGTTGTTCATGGAGGTTATTAGCCACATATTCCATATCCTCCCCTTATTCCCGACTCTCCATCTTCCTCTGTTGCTCCAGGTGAACAAAGACCAATTGTCATGCCTTGGATGGCTGCTTGCAAGCTTTTAAGACCCCAGGCACCATGAAACAAACTAGGAGGTAGAACAGAGGCACTAAACATGTTATTAGGCCAATTAACTGAGATGTCCCATGAAACCATGACCCCACACCTCCAAACCACGGTACAAAATCGCATGAGTTTTTTGGTTGCACATAAGCAGCCTCAGCATCTACTCTTTTTGTTTTTGTAAATATATCACACTTTTGCCAATTCAACTTTTTACAGGTGTACAACTTATATAGCAATTGCAATAATCAGCTGTACCACCCTACCCTTAATCAATGCTTTTTTCCCATCACCATTAGCCCTCTCTTCCCGCTTGCCCCTGGTAACCACTGATAAACTTTGGTATCTATACATTTGCTTGTTCTAGTCTTTTTATACAAGTGAGGTCATACAATATTTGTCCTTTTGTGATTGACTTATTTCACTCAGCATAGTGTCTTCAAGTCTCATCCATATTGTAGCTTGTATCAAGACCATTTCTCCTACTGGCTGAGTAATACATTCTATGTGTGTACCACATGTTGTTTATCCGTTCATCTGTTGATGGGTGGTTAGGTTGTTTCCACCTTTTGGGTATTGAGAATAGTACTGCAATGAACATTTACAAGTCTCTGTTTGAGTCAATGCTTTCAAGTCTTAAGGGTATTTACCTAGAAGTGGAATTGCTAGGTCACATGGTAGTTCTAGTTAGTTTTTCGTGGAACCACCACTCTGTTTTCCACAGCAGCTGTACCATTTTGCATACCCATCAGCAATGGATAAGGGTTCCAATTTCCCCACACCCTCGACAACATTTGTTATTTTCTGTTTTTTAAAAGATTCATACTTTGTACATTCCACATTCCTGTTATTCATGGATGTTTGCAGCTGTTTCTCCTCATTTTGAGTTGTGCCACATCAGCAAATGAAGGTCACAAAAGCTTGACTCCATCTACATCATTAAGGTTGACTCTCCTTTGAGGAGGCAGCTCTTCCCTAGTTGTACTCTGAGCGCCTTCCAACCTCGGGCTCATCCTCCGGCACTTATCAGTGTTGATTGCTGTTCATAAGGTTTTCACTGCTAATGCTTTTCAGAAGTAGACCACCGGGTCCTTCTTCCTAGTCTTAGTCTGGAAGCTCAGCTGAAACCTGTCCGCCATGGGTGACCCTGCTGGTGTTTGAGTACCAGTGGCAGAGCTTCCAGCATCACAGCAACATGCAAGCCCCCACAGTATGACAAACTGACAGATGCATGGGGGTTACTATTCTTACTGAAACATTTTCTGTTAATTTTTTTACACGTAAAAAATTGGGTTCTGCTAATGATTTTTATTAATTACTTTTCTGACTATGGAATCTTTCTAATAAAAGTCACTGAGACAGATGTGAATGGAAGAAGAGAAGAAGCTGTGTCAGAAAATAGCTTTTAAGAACAGTGTTTCTCAGACTAGGATCCACAGATCTTAAGGATTCTCAAGTTCTCTGCCAGACTGTCTAAATCTTGTGTTTAAAATTCCATGAACAAATTCATCTAAGCATACTCTGCATCAGCTGGGTAACTACTTAATTGCAGATCAAAAGCTTGTTTTTTGTGTTTCTTAGCCCTCCTTTAATTGTTGTGGGCCACTGAGAAGAATTGATGGCTTTGAAATATGATGTGGGCAAAGAATATTGAGTATACCATGGACTGCCAGAAGAATGGACAAATCTGTCTTAGAAGAAATACAGCCAGAGTGCTCTTTGGAAGCAAGGCTGGCGAGACTTCATAGGTACTTTGGACATACTATCAGGAGGGACTAGTCCTTTGAGAAGGACATCATGCTTGGTAAAGTAGACAGTCAGTGAAAAAGAGGAAGACTCTCAAAGAGATGGATTGACACAGTGGCTGCAACAATGGGCTCAAGCACAGCAAAGATTGTGAGGTTTGTGCAGTACAAGGCAGTGTTTCATTCTGTTGTACTTAGGGTCTCTGTGAGTTGGAACTGACTCGACGGCACCTAGCCACAGTAACAACATTGAGAGAACAGAGTCAGACTTAATATGTCAAATGAAAATCAAAGGTTGTAAGGGTGCTCCATATGAAAGTTTTGCAGTTGTTAGAATATAATAGTAAAGGATTTGAAGTATTGAAGAGCCCATAATTGTTAAATTATGCTGACCTCAAGAAAGCCTACCATATTTGTGTTGACAATTATAATTAGTTTCAGCAAAGCATCATCTATCACATTAAATTGATTTAATTTGTACTTAAACTGAAGTTAGTTTACATTTAATCAATTTTTGTTGTTTTAATTGTTTAAGAGACATAAGCATGATTAATTCTATTTTTGTATGCATTTAAGTAACATCATAATAAGATTCTAAAAAAATTTCTTTGCCAGTATAATGGGCATAGTTAAAAGGGATCTCTACACTTCTCCAGTTTGATTTGTAGGTGGGGAGAAGAAAGTAATTTTGG